AAAAAAAAGAGGACGAAAAGGCGGTACTTCTTGTCTCCTTCCTTCTAACCCAAAAGAGCTCAGAAGTTAGGATGCTTTCCCTCAGAAAAGCCTCTCCAGGCCCATGACGAAGCAAGCAAGCTTGTCAAGGCAGACCCATAAATTTCCAAATCGTCTATAGATCGTAACCGGGGAAACTAAGATCTGACAAAATTCTTCCCTCACTTCCACAGTTCCTACATAGACCAGCACTTTCCAGCCTTAAAAAAAGGCCACTTTAGGAATGTTGGCTGCACACGAATGAACTGCCCAAACGCAGAACCTGACGCCCGCTACCAAATGATTGCCTTAGTCAAAGCGTAAGTGGAAATGGGCAAACACTTCACCAGCCGCTCCTTCGCCAACAACTGAAAATGAAAACCTCCCTTTCGAACGTGAGCATAATGGTGAGGCACTCCCTCTCCCCGCCCTTTCATTAATTACCAGCCTTGTTCCTTTCTAAACCAGATGGTCCATCAGCCAAACTCCTTTGTGAGTAAATGTTGACGGTCAGAATCTTTCCGAGACAAAGATTATTCGAATACCTCCCAGGAATTCAAGGAATCGATTTTAATGCATCACATACCCCTCCAAGCCTTCACAATAAGGAACAAACCGAAGCCACCACCACCATTCACCGCTCTCTACCAGGAGCTGACAATCAGGCCAAGACGACCTTTCCCTTTCAGGGAAGCGAGAAGGCGCCGGGTCTGTTCCCTCAGACCCCTCCTCTCCTCCACAGCTCCCTCAGGACCCCTGGACCCCTTGAGCCCCTAAATACTCTTCCAATCGCCAAGAAGCCCAGTCTCAGCCACACACAAGATGGCAGCCAATCACCTACCGGAGGAAACAGCTGCGCCACCACTGCAGCGAAGCCGGCCTTTCGACTGCGGGTATCCCCATTGGCCCAGCGAGAGCGCGCGAGACAACTCGAGAACGCTGTCAGCAAATCGGACGGCGGCGCGCTCCGTTGCCTCAGCGCGGCGGACCGCCGGTGCGCGGAGGTCTGAGGCGTGGACGCAGTGGGGTGTGCGACCAATGGGCACCCGGCCAGGAGGTGTCCGACTCCTCCCATTTAGGGTTTGCGTTTGGTAGGCCTGGACCTTACAGATTAGGCGGTCCTTCCTCCTGCCGAGGCGAGATCTAGTAAACGGCGAAGTACTTCCCGGCCAGGGGGCACCGGGGGACCGTAGGATCTCGGTGGCTTGGAGTCGGAGAGGGTCCCGAGGGGCTGGTGAGCCCAGCCTCGCCTGCTGAGCGGGCGGCGTGCAGCCTTCAGATCTGGCGAGCGGCAAGGAAAACGTAGTGGAGCCAGTGGAGCCGCGGCACGGCCGTGGGTGCCCCCCTGACTGGTCCTCCGGCCCAGGACCTGGGCGCGCCGGGGAGCCCTTGCAGCCTCCCTTCTTTCACCCATGTGCAGTCCAGGGCTGGAGAAGGGACTGCGGGCGCACTGAGTTCTCAACCCCATTTCAGCCTCTGTCTCGCGGTGTAAACCTCAGTGTGAGGGGATTCCCAAGCAGTTGGGAACGCGAGGCTGTAAAAGGGGCTGCAGGAAATGGACTGCAGTATAAAATCCAGAAGCAGAACTCGAACGTTTAACCACTGACCCATTTCACAGGTAAGACTACACAAGCCCCAAGTAAGTAAAATCATTTGTCCAATATCGCGGAGTTAAGATCAGATCCTAGGAGCACCTGACTCGTGAACCACAACCCAGTAAGTAATTATCCAATGAATAATTAAAATAAGGGACAGTGTGTAATTAACCGTGCTCTTCGGCTTGTGGAAACCTTCAATAAGTTCTGTATGTTTTCGTGAATCAGGCTAAGAAAAGAGGTAATTGAGGCGGTAGAATGGAATAAAAAACGACTCTGAAACCGTGCTGCTTGGTTCCTTTTATTTTGTTTCCACCACTTTCACTAGAAAAACCGGCATGCTACTTTATTTGTTATGCAGAATAAGAACAAGTGAAGTATTTAGAAATGTGACTGACACGTGATTTATACTCAAACATGTACATTACTGTTACCGTAATTAAAACGTAAGGAACAGGAAATAGTCACAATTTCATAAGACCCTATTTTTAAAAACGAAAGGGAACCATAACTTGAACTGAAACTGACTACTTTTTTGTCAAAATGAAAAAGTGAGAAGAGGAAATACATGAACAAATTTTAAAGCCCCTGTTACATTACAAAATAGTAACACTGGTTGTCTCTAGAAGGTGAAATTACGAGTGATTTAAATTTTCTTCTTTATGCTTTACTATATTTTGCAAATTCTCTGCACTAAACGTTTTACTTTTCTAAGTTCAGTTATTTTTAGATTTTTAGAAGTTATGAACAATACTGATGAGAGCTTTTTAAAAAAAGAATCTAGTACTGAGTGTGCTTGTAGGTGGATGTATAAATTGTTAGAACCTTTCTGGAAAGCAGTTTGGTAATATGCTCCAGAAAGCTTTAAAATGGACAATCCATTTTTGAAAATTATATACTTTTTAAATTGAGTACACTTTTACATTTCCTTTTACAAAATTAGAACTTTACAGATGAATAAAGAGAACAATCTACAGCCCCTGAATTCCCTCCCTCCCCCAACAAAGATGAATGCAGAGCCTTCAAGTCCTTTTTTATACTCACATATTCTCAATAGATGCATAAAGGCATTTGTAATTTTTTAAAAGGGAAATAGTATCATACTATGTAATTCTATAACTCTTCACTTGACCATGCTTTTGCAGTGTGCACATGTTATTTATAGCTCATTATGTTATTTATGGCTCATTTCTTTTAGTGTTCCAGTGTATGACTGAATTCTTCTGTTAATGTAAATTATTTATCGTTGCCTCTTATTGGTTTCCATATTAAATTCTATTTTGTTTGACATGTAGTGTATAGTACATTTTATTTGCCATACTCCTTTTGATGGACATTAAGTTGTTTCCAGTTTCTCACCTGACAAGCAGTGCTGCAGGGAAACCCTTGTGTTTTCTTGTGTACATGTGGTATTTCTCAAGATATATACCTAGAAGTGGAATTGCTTGGTTTTAAGTTGTAAACACTTTTAATTTTAATAGGTCTTGCCAAATTTGCCTTGAAAATATTTCTACTAATTTACACATCTCACAAGTAGTTTATTAGAATTCAGTTTCCCTATAATCTAGACTATTGATTTTCAGCCCATGTGCTGCAAGAATTTTTAAAACATGCAATACCTTTTAGTCCAAGGCACTGACCTCTTTTCCCTTAGATTGTCAAATAAAAAAATGCAAAATTATACCTATGTTTTTGGTCAGATCAGCAAAAAATACATTTTTTGGTGTTTAGTAGGATTTTAGTAATTAGTTTATGTGTACCATGAGATGAAAAGGTTGAAAATAGCTTGTCTAGACCAACATGAGATATTATCTTACTTTTTGCCCATCTGATGGATAAAATGATACGCATTTTTTAAAGATTTCATTCTCTGATTACTACTAAGGTTGCAGTATCTATTTATGTTTATTAACCCACAATTTATGTAAATTTATATAATTTCTTTCATACCGTACCCATTTTCTATTTAGTCATCTTTTTCTTAATGATTGAAGGAGTTCTTTATGTGTTCTGGATACTGTGTATCCTGTATAATTTTAAAAATTTCTTCAGTGTCTAATGGCTATGTCCTTTTTTTGTTACTATTGTTAAAATGTTACATTTTCTCCCAACTCTTTGCTTGGCTTTTAACTTTATTTTGTTTTTGTTTATTCTACAGATTTTCCTCTTCTTTACAATCTTTAGGTCTCTTTATTTTACTGTCTTTCTGTAAGACTTTCAGTACAATATTGAATAAGAGCAGTGGTGGCAAGTATTCTTATCCTGTGCCCAACTTTAATGAAAATGCTTCTAGCATTTCATCATTGAGTATTTACTGCAAGGTTTTAGTAGATAGTGTTTACCAGGCTGAAGAGTTTTCTGTTATTACTAGTTTGCTAAGAGTTTGCCCTCTTCCCTCCTCCTTCCAATAGTTGCTGACTTTCATTGAATTTTTAAATTTTGTTTTTCTGCATCGGAGATGATAGTTTTCCCCTGTTTATCTGTTAATATAAAAATTTACATTGAGAACTTTCCAATGTTGAACTTTCTGGGTATTCCTAGGATAAACCCTACATTAATGATATACTTTTAGTCTACTGATGCATGCTTTTACTTACTGTTTTGCTTCTATGCCCATAAGTGCCTTTGGCCTTAAGTTTCTTTTTTTTAACATGTCAAGTTTATACTAATCTAAAAAAAAAAGTTCAATAGCTTCCCATATTTTTTTTGCTCTGGAACTTTTGTATACTATAGAAATTATATGTTCCTTGAAAGTTTTATAAAATTCATTTATAAAATGTTATGGACATGGTATGCTGGGAGTGAGAGATGGGGATGTGTGGCATGCAGCTCTGGTAAGATCTTCAACTGCTCTTTCATTTATTTTAAACATTTTATTTATTTATTTATTCATTCTCACCCGAGGATATTTTTTCCATTGCTTTTCAGAGAGAGCACAGGGGAGAAACGTCTATGTGAGAGAGATACACTGATTGGTTGCCTCCTGCATGCCTGCACCTGAGGTACGTGCCCTTGGCTGGAATTGAACTTTAGGCCCTTCAGTCTGCAGGCAGACGCTCTAACCATGAAGCCAAACCAGCTAGGGCTCAGCTGTTCTTTTCAATTTTCTCTTTTATACTTATTTCTTTTTTAAAAAATATATATATATTGATTTCAGAGAGAGGAAGGGAGAGGGAGAGAGTGAGATAGAAACATCAATGATAAAGAGTCATTGATCGGCTGCTTCCTGCATGTCCCCTATTGGGGATTGAGCCCAAAACCCAGGCATGTGTCCTGACCAGGAATCAAATCGCAATCTCCTGTATCATAGGTCAATGCTCAACTACTGAGCCACACCCGGCCAGGCTATACTTTCCTTTAATTGGGATTATTACTTCTTTAGCTTACTTGGTATTAAGACAGTAATTTCAATTAGATAGGCATGATGAATTGTTCTGTCAGTGTAAAATATTTCTTTGCCTTTTTTATTTGTGTTCATATTAAATTCTGTTCTGTTCGATATGGATTTTTTTGTATTTGCTGGAACATCTTTTTTCACATTTCCTCCATTCAACCTTTTAGTGATGTTTTGTGTGATTTAAGTGGGTCTGTTTATTTAAAAATACCATAGCTAGATTGTGCTTGGAATCCATTCTGAGAGTCTCTCTTTTAATAGTAAGGTTAACACATTCACTTTTTGTGTGATTATTAACATATTTGGCCGTTTTCTTATCATCTGTTTACCATGTTTCTTTTCACATCTTTCATGTCTTATTTTTTCATTTCTCTTTAAAAAAAAAAAATCTTTATTGATTTCAGAGAGAGGAAGGGAGAGAGAGAGAGTTGAAACGTCAGTGATGAGAGAGAGTCATTGATCGGCTGCCTTCTGCACGCTCCCGATGGGATCGAGCCCCAACCTCAGCATGTGCCCTGACCGGGAATCCACCTGCTATCTCCTGGATCCTAGGTCGATTCTCAATCTGTGAGCCATGCCCGGCTGGGCTCATTTCTCTTTTTAAATTGAGGTTAGCCCCAAGTTTTCTTTGTTGTACCTACTTTCTTTTTAATAGATTTACATTATCAATACAGTTTGTAAATTTTTTCCTAACAAAGTCTAAACTTAATTAGTATTAATATCCTACCTATGAAGAACTTATCTTGCTTCTACTTTACTTTCTCTGATCTTGCAATAACCCCCTTTCAATGCCCCTCCAAAAGAGAATATAATTTCCCATGGTTCTGTCTTCTAGCATTTTTGTTTCATTCGTTATTAGTGTCCATTTCTATTCTGTGTTTATATAGCATTAATGTATTTTACTCATTTGCTCACTATTGCTCTTGTACCTTCTGGGTTAGTTTTTATTCACGAAGTACTTATTTCTTTTAGAGAGTCTCTGAGTGGCTCTTTGAGTTTGTAAAACTTTCTATTTTTTAATCTCAGTATTGAAAGATAGCTTGGCTGAATTAGTATTCTGGGTTCAGACTTATTTTCCTTTAACATCTGTCATCTCTGATGAGAAGTCTGATTACCAGTCTGATACACATTCTTTCAGATAATCTAGATTTTTCTGGAAGCTTCTAAGACTTTGTTTTTATTCTTGATATTTTGAAGTTTATCCAAAGTTTGTTTAGTGGTGTGTATTAAGAATTTTATCCTGCTTGGTACTCAGTGGACCCTTAGTGGGCTTATGTGTTTCCAGTTCTGAGAAATTCTTGGTCTTTATTGCTTCTTCATTCTCCTTATTTTAATCCTCCTCTTGTTCTTTCTTTGCTCTTTGTTTTGAGTGAATTGCTCAACTCAGTCTTCCAGCTTGCTAAATGGCTCTTCACCTGAGTCTGTGCTATTATTCAGTGATCTGTTGAGTTTATTCAGCAACTCTTTATATTCAGGTTATCTAATTGGTTATTTTTATGTTATTTCATAGATGAGGTTTCCTTCTTTTGCTCTTTGAGGATATTAAATACAGTAACATTTATTTTAAAATTATTTTCAGGATGCTCTATTAATTTTCCACTTGAATTGAAGCTCATCTGTTTGTGGGCTTGTTAAGTCTCTTTCATGGTGTAGCTTTCCTCAGATGCTTGATGACTCTCCGTTGTGCACTGGTCTCCTCTGAGAGGTTTTGCTCTTCAATTTGCTATGTTATGATGATGGTTGGCATGATCTCTATAGCTTCTCTTCTGTTTCCTTTCCCCAGAGAGGTCTCACAGACTTGGTCCGTTGAGAATTCCCTTTTTGTTTTCATCATGAATATATACTTTTAAATTTTTTAAATATTCTAACATTTCTGTGGGTTTGGGAGTGGGAGAAGAATTTATCATACGTTGACTAATATCTTGAGACTGAAAATTGTTGATCTCTTTTTGACCTGTTAGTTCCACCTCTAGGTGTATATCTTAAGGAAATAAACATAGATATGCATAGGGCATGTTCCAGCATTAATTATTACTGAAAAATCGAAACAATCTAAATGTTCAACATAGAGCTTTATTTATAGTACTAATTAATTTATTGAATTTTAAATATTAAAATTCTTTAGTGTATTTTAATATATGTATTATTGACCAGAGTACATTATATAGTCACTTAAAAGTCATATTATAGAAAAATATTAATGACAAGGGGAAGTACATAATATGTTTTCAATGAAAGATTATAAAAAATTATATATTACTAAAATCCAAATTTTGTTTTAAGAGTATATTTACTGAAAGAGTAATCATTGTTGCTAGCATTTATTTTGTCCTTTGTATGTGCCAGGGACTCTTCTAAGTGAGTAAGTCTTATTCTGACTGTAATCCTATGGATTGTTATACTTATTTTAAAAGTTTTTACAAAGTATTTATAAAGTGGGGATAGTTTATGTTAATTAAAAATATATTAAGTATGGATAATTCTTAATGTCTCTTTAATTTTCCTAATTTTGATATTTTATACACTTTTCCAGTTGATATGTACTTTTTTCATAATAGTTCATGGTGTTTTAAAAGATAGAGCTATTGTTATATAACAATCTCTTATATATTTTATTCTTTACAAATATGCACCATTTTTTATTGTTACAGAATGTTTTATGCATTTATGGACCAAAGGATGGAGTTGGTTTTTATTTTTATAAAGATATTGTCAGTGATCTGATACAACTATAAATATTTAATTGATGAAGATTCATGGACTTGTCATTATGTTGGACTAGTCATTTCTGAAAGTTTCTTCAACCACAGTTTCTATTTGAACATTCAAGTATCTGAGAATACTGGGTTTAGAGTGGCATAATAATTATTTTCTCTGAGGACTGCAAATTTCATAAAGACCACAGTTGGATTCCAGTTATATTCTCCAATCAAAGTGATTCAGTCCCTTGATAAAGTTAACTTTGAAGAGTTTTGTGTTTATAAACAACGCCAAAAGATGGGAGAAAAAAATGGTAGGTTGAAAAACCATTGTTAAACTTTGTTTAAAAGTATGTAGACTACTTAATGGAGCTGAATTGTGGAATTTTCAAGGTGTTTCATTGTAAATGCCTTTTCTGAATTCAAAGGAATCAAGAGATTATTCTGATGTAGCCAACAATTTCAATTGTCTTTACAATGAATTTGTGCCCATAACACTAAGTCAGTACTTTAAGGTACTTTTAAAAAATATTTATTTTGTATAAAACAGATATACAGAAAAATCGAGAGGATGATACAGAGAGTTCTCATATTCCCTGCACCCAGTTTTGCCTCTGATTAACATTTTACATTTGGCTGGTACATTTGTTACAATTAAAGAACCAGAATTGACACATTATTATGAACTAAAGTCCATGGTTTATTCCTGTTGTCTTAGTTTTCACCTCATGTCTTTTTCTATTCCAGGATCCCATCCAGGATACCACATTACATTAACTTGCCATGTCTCCTTAGGGTCCCCTTGGATGTGACATTTTCTCAGACTTTCTTTGTTTTTGATTTTGTAGGATTTTGTATCCAAATATTTTTTAGGATACCCCTTTATTGAAATTACTGACTGATTTTTTTTCTCATGATTAGGGTTATAAGGTTGTGGAAGGTAAAGTCCCATTTTACCACATCATATCAGGGGTATATTTATCAACATGATTTCTCACTTGTTGATAACTGAACTTGATCACCTGGCTGACAGTGTTATCTGATTTCTCTACTGTAAATGAGGTTTTTTAAAAATCTCCCTTTCCCTGCTGTACTTTTTGACAGGAAATTACTGTGTGCAGCCCACACTTAAGCCGTGGAGATTTATGCTCCTCTTCTTTCAGAGCAGAATATATACATTAATTATTTGGAATTATTCTACAAGGGAAATTTGTCTCCTTTCCCCCACCTTTGTATTTAGTCAATCATTTGTATCAGTATGTAATAATGGATACTTACTTTATACTTTGGGTTATAGTCTGTTTTGTTACTCAAATTGTCCCAGGATTGGCCATTGGGAGCTCTTTCAGTTGGCTCTGTGTCCCCTTAATGTACCCCCATCAATTTAGGTGGGTTTTGTTTCACTTTGTTTGTTTTTGTTTTTTAGTACTTCCTTATTTTCTGGTATCAAAAGATTCTATAGGCTCATAGAAATATATCTATATAGGAAATATAGGTATATTTCCTGCCCCAGTCCTAGAATCAGCCATTTTTTTAATGAAACTTGGTTCCTTTCATTGGAAAATGGTATTAGAAACCAAGATATGGGCAATAGGTATGTTCCTTGTTACTGGGGTTCCATTGCTTTAGGCCCTCTCAGCTGACAGAGCATGGAAATATATGTGTATACTAACCTGTATATACACATATCTGTATGTATTTCTATATCTAACCATGTGTGTCTGTATTAAGCTAAACATGAGTTTATATTGATGTCTCCAGCTCTGATCCATTACAAGGATCATTCTAGCCTACCCCTTGCTTATCTGTAAACTTATACTCTAACAGTGAGAAACATCGCTCCAACTATCTGTTATTCATTTACTTAATTGCTCAATTCCAATATACAGGTGTACCTTGGAGATACTGAAAGTTGGGTTTCAGACCACCACATATAATTATCAAAGCAAGTTGTAATCTTTTTGCTAGTGAAGGGTCTTGTCTTCAATTTGTATAAAATGCAACATCTGTGATGTACAGTAAAGCATAGCACAATAAAACGAGGTATGCCTATATATGTATAGCAGTATCAGAAATGTACTTTATTCCCAGTTGGGAAACTGCAATGCTTGTGAGTAGTTCCTGTTACTTTTAGTTTATAGACTTCACTTATTTCCAGTTATTTAGGTCAATACCTTTCTTACCCAGCTTTTCAGTGACTTTAATACAGTTAGATTCTCTTGTCATAGTCTGCGTTCATTCCTTCCAGGGATCCCTGACCTCTTAAATGATATTTTAAAATTTACATACATTAAGGTTTACTCATTGTGCTTTAAAGTTCTTTGGGCTTTGACAAATGTATAAGGTCATGTATCTACCATTACAGTACAATAGAGAATAGTTTTAATGCTGTTTAATGTACTTAATAATATATGGATTGTTATAGAGGTCATATAGTACTGATTTCACTGGACCATTATCTAGACCAGTGGTTCTTAAACTTACTTTGCTCTCAGGACTACTTTATATTCTTAAAAGTATTTAAAATCCCAAATAGCTTTTGATTTGTGGGTAACACATGTTCAAATTTACTGTATTAGAAATTGAAACTGAGCAGTTTCAAAATGTTAATTGAGCCCCACCCAGGTGGCTCAGTTGGTTGGAATGTCAACCCCTACACCAAAAAGGTTATGGGTTTGATTCCTAGGCAGGGCACATACCTAAGTTTTGGGTTCTACCCCGGTCAGGGCATGTACGGGTGACAACCAATCTGTTTGTCTCTCACATTGATGTTTTTTCACTATTAAGGAAGTAAAATATATGTACACTGTTGTCAAGGGTGAACACATTTTAAAAAACATATCTTTGGGTGAGGATTAAAAAAAAGTTAATTGGCTAATTTTTAAAAATATAATTAATCCAACATGTTAACATGAATTACATTTTTGTAAGAAATAATTATTTTTGAAAACAAAAATTAGTGAGGAAACATTGTTTTACTCTTTTATAAATTTTTAATAGTGGCTTACTAGAAGAGAGAGTCTCATATCTACTTCTGCATTCAATCTGTCATGATAATGTTGTTTAAATGTGTATTTCTTTGATTAATGCTGACAATAAACATCACTTCATATATTTATTAACCATTTATATTTCTCCTCTGAATTATCTATTTTAGTTTTTTTTCTTTTAGAGAGGAAAGGAGAGGGAGGGAGAGAAACGTGTAAGAGAGAAACATCAGTCAGCTGCCCCTTGCATGCACCCTGACTGGGGATCGAGCCCACAACCTGGGTATGTGCCCTGACCGGGAGTCAAACCTGTGACCCCCTGGTGCACAGGACGATGCTCCAGCCAATCAAGCCACAGTGGTCAGGGCTGTATTTTCATTTTATACCAGTTTTTCAATTGCAAAATTATATGAGCTCTTTGTATTTTAAGAATATTAACCATTTGTTTTTTCTATTTTTGGCAAACATTTTCCCTAGTTTCTAGAATATTTTAATTGTGTTTCTGGTGGGGTTTTTTATGTGCAAAAATTCTGGAACTCTTATGTGGACAATTTTTTTTCATTGCTTTTAAGCTTTGAAAAGCTCCTGTGTTTAGGAAAATGTCTGACATATAATGAGTGCTTAGTAAATATATAATAAATAAATGGGTGAATGAACTAATGAAATATTTGACCCATACTGACAAACAATAGCCTCATTCTTTTCCTACAGATGTAGGTCAGTCCTCCAATCATTTCTACGTAATCTGGAACTAGAAGAAATAATTAGGATTAGTATTGATTTTCTGATGGTTGCATACTCACCATCTGGGGAATTACCACAGGAGCCTCTAACAAAGCCCATGATCCTGCATCTTGTATACTTTCATCCCTGATGGTCACTAGATATTTTTTATCCCACAAGATCAATGCTTTCTGGTAGTTGCTGTATTTGTTTTTAATGGTGACTTCACTCATTATTTAATATTTAAAATCTACTTCTCAATTTCTACCTGGCCTATTCTGTCCTCTTTCTTCTATTATAATCTTGAGCACACAGAAGGATAATAAAAGTCAGAGGCATGAGGAATAAGAATGAGGGGGGAAAATGTGCCCTGCTTCTCAATATTTTATTATGAAATCACAGTGATACAATTTGTATTTGGGAGGAAAGGACATAAGTCAGCATATACATTGGGCAAATAAACTTGTTTTCATTGAATGTCTGTAGAGATAGTGGTGTTCATTCACTAGATCTGCTGCTCTCCTACAGTACCACATATCTTTATAATGAACCACTTCCCATCCTACAAATGTGCCCTTCCCTCCCATTTTCCTCTTTTTTGGCAAATACAATTCCATAAGCCCGAAATGTCCTGGTCAGCTATGTGCTTTGGCTGACAAATATTTTTTCATTTGAATTGTTTTCCTCCTATAGGTAAGGTGTCAGTATTCTATGGCTGCATTTAAGAGTTTCCTTTGGTTTTCAGAAGTTGGATTATTACGTGTGTTGTCATGGATTTCTTTGGGTTCATCTTGTATGGAGTTTTCTGAGGTCCTTGAATCTGTATGCTTATGTATTTTGCCAAATTTGGGGAATTTTCAGTCATTAAAAATTTACATATGAATTTTCCTTTGTCTGAATAATCTAGCCTGAAGATATCCTGGCAAAATAAAAAATTATATGGACAAGGCTACTTATTGCCCTGGCTCAATATAAACAACAATACTACTCATTCATTCTGCAAGCAGATAGTTCTCAGTATTTTCTGATTGGCTTTATTTTCTTAAATTATATTGCCAGTGTCCTCTTTATTAATCTATTCCAAGACTAAGCATTTACCCTGTTCACTTTTTAAATAATTCGTTGTAAGTGCTTCCTGTCATAATAATTTGGTATCGTGTATTGACATTTCTAACAGTTTTAAATGATAGTCACTGAAAAACAAAAATTCATTTAATTCCTGATTGCTGTCTTTCAGCATTGCTGCTTATTTTCTCAAGCCAGGAGTTATATGTGGTCCAGAAGATTATTATGCTACAAAAGGCTATTTGTAAATACCTTTCAAAATTCTTCCTGTCTAGATGTCCACCTCAAATAAAGATAAATCCCTAGTACTAAGTATTGAGTCATATTCACAAAAAGAAACATGGTAACAGTAATCACTGCTTTTACAAATAGTTTTGCCTAAAAGCAGTGATTTTTGTTGGTTATCTGTCAGTAAAAAATTTAATGATTTAAGGATTCTGAGAAAGCCCTGCTTCAGAAAGTATTTTCTCCACTTAGCTGAATGATCTCCCATATTCCACACTTAAAGATTAATTCCTTTTGTCTAAGATTGTATTCCCTATTAAATTATATATGGTAAGTTTTTGCTCTCTTGTGCTTATCTGTACATCAACTCTGAGATAGATGCTATTATTCTCATTTTACAGATACAGTCACACAGCTAATTAAGTCGAAATGCTGGGATTCAAACCCACATACATATGAATTCCAAAGCGTAGACTGTTAATCACTCCTATTCTTCCATTGATTTCTGAGATTCTACTTCCACCTGTTTGCTCTTCAGTTTCCATGATTCTTTTGTCTTGTACTCATCCCTCATATGTTGATGTTCTATAGAAGACACTCTTCTCATTCTCTACACACTCTCCTTAATCATACCTACTTTGTGGCTTCAGCAGGCACTTGTGTGTTATGGACTCCAAAGTTTGTATACCTGGATCAGATCTTACTCTGGAGCCTGTGTATCCGTTTACTCTCCCTACTTGAATTTCTCCTATGTGCCTCTACTTTTATTCCCTATCAGTGAATACCATTTAGTATATGTTGCCTGAGTCAGAAACTTAGAAATCATTCTTAACTCTCCTTTCTTTTCTCTGCCACATGAGTGATATAAGAAACATATCTAATCATATCACAAGATGTTTAAACGTCTTGAGTGGCTCCCTGTAGCCTTCTGTATAAAAATGAAGTTGCTTAGCATTGTACACAAGGCCTTCCATATCATGGTTCCTTCCTTCCTCTACAGCATTATTTCTCATCCCTTTTCTCCTAACATTGTTTTAAATGTTGAAACATTGTCTGAGTTGTGCCAGTGGGAATTAAGGGTAGGCGATTTTGTGTAGTACACGTTGGCCCAGAATATTAACAGGGAAACAACACCCCTCCTGAGGCTGCTGTGGTGGCAGCAGCCCTAATTAGCCATAGATCTTTTTTTGGGTAAAGTGACTGCCAGTAAGAGTTAGGACTCTGAAGCCTAAGCTTCTTATGAAGATTTTCACTCCTTTGCCAATCTTAAGGTTCTAGGTTTAATTTTTATTAAGAAAAATGTGGGTTTTTTTGTAAACTTACTGGGCTCTCATTAATCCTAATGGCTTCTCAAGTGACCTTTCTAAAGTACAATTATTATGTTCCTCCTTTGCCTAAGTCCTTATTATTTAATTTTAACACTGTATAAATAAATTGTGTTTAATATTTTAAATATTTTTGTTACTTTTAAGCCTGGTTTAAGTGAGATTTGGCTTTTTCCCCAATTTATTTTAATTGCCTTTCTCATATTTTTGTTTTTAACTTTGAAAGGATTATTTCTCTAGGAAGTTTTTAAGGTGTTAGCTTGCTGGGCATATGAAATTTTGGATCATCTATATAGCTTTATCAATAAAAACTTTTAAACATTTCGTTTCATGTAATTATGGAAAATTAATAGAAGGCATTTTAAAAAGCATTGGGACATTTAGTTAGTTCAGCAATTGTTGAGATGTTTCATTCTGAAACCACCCATGTCCATACTCAGTGGAAGTTATATTCCTAAAAGTTTTTAAATGAATGTGTGTCTGTGAATGTCCACCACCACCCTAGAATGAAGTCACTCCTTTTGTTTTCTAGTCAAGAAATAGTGTCACTAAAATTTTCAACATATTTTTTAAATTAGCAAGAAATAAGTGACATACTTAAATCATATTCCTTGTTTCTACATTTTTGTTAAGAAACAATGACCAAAATCATCTTCCTCAAAGAAAGTGAAAGATCAATTAAAACTCGGTTTTATTTAGAAACCAAACAGACTGTCTGTAACATGTTCCATGGGGAAATTACAGTCTGTTTTTTTTCAAATTAAAAAAAAATTATTGATTTGAGAGAGAGAAGGAGAGAGCAAAACATTGATTTGTTGTTCCACCTACTTATGCATTCATTGATTGATACTTGCGTGTGCCCTGAGTGGAGATTGAACCTGCAACCTTTGCATATCAGGATGACGCTCTAACCAACTGAGCTACCTAGTCAGGGTTACAGTCTATTTCTATTGAGGTCTTAGGCTACTCGCTGATTTATATTTAGGTGATGCAAAAACTTTCTGGATGGAGCTGGAAGATGATGGAAAAGTAGACATCATATTTGAGCAAGTGCAAAATGTGCTGCAGTCACTGAAGCAGAAGATCAAAGATGGGTCTGCCACAAATAAAGGTATGAAGCAATAAAAACTTCCAGTACATTTAATGCTTAATGTTACCCACTGGCATACAGTATAATTCTATTTCCAGTAGTTTGTTTTTAAAGTCAAATTATTTCTTTGTTTTCTAAGAACCTAACATCAGTTCTATTTGCTTTTTAGTGTGTGTGTATGTTCTGCTTCTATAAAAACTTGCTTTTACCATACCATTGCTATTTTGTAAAAGTGAGGAAGATGCTTACTTTGAATAATAGCTACTGAATTTATCTCTATCTCAGACTGCCTTTTATACCACCACCACCTCACCATTTTATTTTTTAATTTTTACCTTTTTTGTGGGGGTGGATATTGCAAAAGTAATGTCTGCTTATTGTACAACATTTGGTACATATAGAAACAACAATAACTACCCATTACTCCATCATACAATGACAACTAGTGTTTTTTAAAAATATAAAAGTACATATAACTGTATTTTGCCTGCTTTAAGCAGAACTTGGGTTACTAGTCTTCTGAAAGCAAAACATGCATTCGACATAGGCAGCCAATTCAGTCATCCAAGGTTTTTGTTTTCTATTTCTTTTTCTTCAACCCTGGTTGGTTGTAGAACATAAGACTTTTATGTGGAAACCTCCTCATTCCATCAGTACATACGATTTTCCAGCAAATTTTCAACCTATGTGCTTGTCCAAAAAATTGGTACTGTTTTTTCATTTTAATATTTCTTCCCATTCCTTCATGAGTCCGATATACCTAGGTTTGAATCCAATACCACTTCTAGCTGAATGACCTATAATAAATAGCTGAAGCTCTCAGCTTCAGTTTCTTTATCTCAATGCAGATACTCATAAGAACCTCTCAGAGGAGTTGTGAAGATTAAATGAGATAAAGTATATAAATTGTTTACCACTGTAGCTGGGATCTTGAATAAAGGTGGTACTGCTGCTGATTGCTTTCATTCTTTTTTCCTTTCCTTAACAGAATACATCCAAGCAATGATTCTGGTGAATGAAGCAACTATAAGTAACAATTTAACGTTGATAAAGGGTATGTGCATTTCTAATCCCAATCTAGAGTATTCTTTGGTATTTTCTGTTTTTTTTTTTTAATTAATCCTCACCTGAGGGTTTTTCCTGTTGTTGGTTTTTGGTGTTTTTTTTTTGGAGAGAGTGGAAGGGAGGGAGGAGGAGGAAGGAGAGAAACATTGATTGGCTGCCTCCCCCCCCAGGGCTAGGGCTCAAACCTGTGACCCTTTGGTCTGCAGGCCGATGCTGTAACCACTGAGCAAAACTGGCCAGTGCTCTCTGGTATTTTCTTGATCTGAAGCAGGCCCTCCTAATTATGTCAGGCTAACTAAACTATATAAATCAGTTTCTCTATTAAATGACAGTTCCCACCCATCCAGAGATAGGAAATGCACACCCTACAAAACCTCCTAGGGAAGAAATGAACAAATGTATCTCCTCTTCAAAAATGCTTTCTGTATAAGAAGAGCAAATAGAATTTTAAGACTCCAAACCATTATAAACCATCTTTGTGTGAAGAACAATACTAGGAAGGAATATTCTGGTATAGATAATCGGGTAAGAAAGTTTTTCATTTCTATATTGTTATTAGATTGTCAGTCTTCGAAACTCTATAAGCAAATTTATTTTAGAAGGAATTAATCGAGGATAATATACCAGGACTAGAAAAAGAAATATTGAAAGTTACTTTATTGGAATCACTATCCTATAAATCTTAGTCTGTCACTTATTTGCTAAAGTGTTGAGGAAGTACATTTACTATATTTTAATTACTACTAAATAATAATTTTAACTGCTATAATTTGGAGCCCTAAGGTTTTAAATCTGAAAATATAACCTAACATCATCAGTATATATTTAAAAAGTCTGTTGTTGTTCAAAAGTATTCTTAATTTCAGTAGCTAATATATTTTTAGAATAGTAGATTCTGTAAGAAAAGAGCCTTTCACAGTATCCTTCAGTTGCACTTGGAATCAGCATACCCTTAAGGGATTACATTAGTTTTGAAGAAAAGCTTTTTTTTTTTTTAACATTAAATACTTTTTTTATTTCTATTATATATTTTACTAGCATTGTATTTGAACCAAATATTCATCTTTTACAGTCACATAACTATCTGTACATTACTAGATGTGGAATTGTACCACTTTCCTTCAATTTTAAATGCAGGAGGTAGTTAGAGGAACTAAATCTAAACAGTTTCCTTTTTTATTTCTGAGACAGTCTATTTCCCACTAAAAGAAAGTGAGTGGAACCCCAGCTGGGTGGCTCAGTTGGTTGGAGCATCGTCCCATACACCAAAAAGTTACAGGTTCGATTCCTGGTCAGGGCACATACCTAGATTGTGGGTTCGATCTCTGGTCAGGTGTGTGTGGGAGGCAACTAAAAACAGTAAATTGGGTTTTCGTTTTGGTTGTTTTAAAGTAACAATTTTGTTAGTAGAGATGCTGAAGATTATAATTTCATATTTTTAGTAGTTCATCTGAAATGTAATGAACTTATTAAAATAAAAATATGTGTTTGCCAGTGGTAGAACAGTGTTTATAAGTGAGTAATTGGAGAGTTATGTAATTGACAGTTTTGGCAGATACAAGGATTAACAACTTTCTAGTAATAAAATTTCATGTTAGTATTTTAAAAAAATACTGAGACAGGAGAAACAAAAGGATTTGGTGTTGAGGTCAAAACAAGCCGTCACAGATCTAGCCTTTACTCCACAAATCACTAATTACCTTCATTTTCCTTGCTTGCATGTAACAAACTGTAAATATTTGCTGTGTCCCCATACAAAGGATTGGATACTGTTTTCTTGAGATAAATTATTATTTCCCCTTTCCCCCCTTAATTAATGATTAATTTTAAATCTCCATGTTTTTCAGTAAATCTTATTTCTAACTATGCTTATATACATTTGTTTATTCATATTTGTTAATATGGATTTACATGACTCATGCAAAGAAATTAGCTGGGAAAATCAGAAATTCTTAATTTGTGTAATTTATTTATTTTTAATCAGTTATTATAGCTCACTTCAGCTATCAGATTTTAAAACTTCTTTCTTTACCTAGATAATTAAAGAGGGATCTTTGTTTTTCAATGAGCCAAGGAGTGGCCTTGGATTATAACCTAACCTTTTATTTACTTAAACTTTTTTTTCTTTTTAATTAGACTGCTCTGCACTAAAGGTCCAAGGCAAGCTAATAGTCCAAGGCAGGATGAGAAATCATTATTTCCTTAAGGTTTATCATTGTATAGGAAAAAGCACATTAAAAAAAAAGTCTTTAAACCAAATATATAGAATATTCCACATACCATTTTTCACAATAAGAATGGTAAAACTAATTTTTTTCATTAGATAGCTTATGTCTATATTGTAGTCATGTTAGAGAGTAAGAATAGATGAGTAGAAAGAGACAAAAGAAATTACATGCAGAAAGACATAGAAGAAACGAAGCAAAATATGAAAAGGCGAAAGACAAAAAGAGGTATCCAAATATTCTACCTCGTTCCTCCCATAAAATAATAGTAAAACAATGAGAAAAAAGGTACATAAACTTTCTATTTTGTGACCTTTTATAGAACCTTTAAGAATTTATTTTTTTTTCTATACAATACAAGCGGAAGTGGGACTATTTGATGTTCACCTTAAAGGTTGATTAAAATTCAGATAAAGTTCAGGCCAGATTAGAGTTTCTGCATTAGTAATCTCTTTTATCCTAAGTTTTATTTCATCCTATCTTATTTTCTTAGTGTTTTTGAAAATATGGACATACAACTTTTTGGCTCAATCTTGATACCTTATTATGGTTACAGATTTAAGGGCTCCGTATATCTCTAGTTAATAAAGATATTAGATATTACAGTGAATGATTTTTAAATTGGTGTATTTGTTACTCATGTTTGTATTTTTTTCATGTAGATCATAAGTCTGTGACTGAGAATGAACAGAAAAACAAATCATGTTCATTGCCGTCTACATCATATGAAGACTCCTTTCCAGAAGACTGTACAGATCTGTATGTGTATCAGTTAAATTTATTTTTATTGTTAATGCTTTTGCTCCCAGAAAGAGATTTACTCTTGCTAATCATTTGACAGAGGAGTAGATAGTCTATATCACAATAGATTCTTTCCCACTAAAAGCATTAAAAGTTGTAAATTTTAGTATTTTATGTAGGATAAAGGTTCATGAGTCCCTTAATAGGTTATTTATTTGTTAATATCCTTAGGTAATCAAGTCTTTTAAAAAACTTAGCTTAAGATGTCTTTATATGTTATTATATTGAAACCTACCAAATTGGTGGGTTTTTTTTAAGTAAAATTTTTTTTTCCTGGATTATTTCTTTTAAAGTGGAGTATTGAAAAGGGTCAAAAGTATTTCTTTCAGTATCAGTTCAGTTTTTAAAATGCATAACAGCTCTAAATTAGTGTCAGAAATTTTATGAGAATAGGCTAAACTTTTCTGACCTTTTCTTCTTTAACCACTAATTTCAGTAAAGATTCTTCAGCAGAATTCCTCAGTAGAATTGTATAGGAGGACATATGACACTCTGACATTTAGTCTCTATTTTTAGTAGGTAACGCCTGTACTAAAACTTTCAAGTACTAGTTAAAGGGAAGTTTCTGAAAATGTTTTGTGCTAGGGTGGGGAACAGAATTACAAAAAGCCAAAAAGTATCTTTAGAAAATAAGCCATTAAGTTGATTGTACTTTCATATTAAAGTAACAAAAAAAGTTGTCAATATAGAATTCTTCTTTTTCTTTTCAGTGTTTATGAAAGTTGTAGATTGACACTATTACATATGATTTGTATTTACAAATATTAGAGAGGTCATTGCAGTTTGAGTCTAAAAGGCTCATCAAAAACTCTCAGAGAAAGCTTAAGTTCACAGTTTTCAAACACTTTAACTGGCCATTTCAATAGCTGAATTCTGACTTTCTGATATATAGCATAAATTTTTTTATTACCTTTTAAAAAAATTAAATCACTCTAAATCACTAAAATAGATTCTTTTTATGTAAATTACCTCCAAGCAAACTGTTCTCCATCTTATATTTAGATATATTTTAAGCTTAAATGCAAGAGTTGATTTAGGGATCAGTATTAAGCTAACCATTCTGTACTTTCTGGAATGTTCCCTTTTAAAAAAAAAAAAATCAGGGCAGTACTTTTTCCAATTTTTTCATTTATATTTAAAATTGTGTCGGGACCTTGAGATTTAATTTATTGGGGCCTCAAATCTTAAATATGTTTAAATAAAGTAGCATTCTAGGACCCCTTTTTAACTGTCACAGACTTCAGTTTCTTCTTTTCATTTTTGTCTGCAGCAGCAATAGTTATTAGGTAGAAAAGACAAAGGCATATTGTTTCTGAGCTGCTCTGTCTCTCTATTATCAGTTAACTTTATACAGTCTTTCCCCAACAGATTGTCTTCTTGTTTCAAACAAAGTTTGACTGAGATCATTGCATATGAAGGGACATGTCTAATTCAGCTCAGGATTTTCTTCCTTAACCATTACGAATTCTAAGACCACATTTCATTCTTGACCAGAATTATGCTTAAATAATTCTTTTGTATTTCCTCTGCAGATTATGAGTTTGTTATTTGTTTTGCTTTTTTTCGTAGTTAAACCTCTAGTAGGTTAGTAGTCACATAGGCAAACTGGCAAACTAAATGGTGACTAGCTTAAGCCACATGTTCTCAACCCCAGCTCAATTGTTCAATGTCATGTAATTTGTCAATGGCAAACCAGAGTGAAAATCTTAGATCTGGTAGGAAACTGGCTTTCTTTTATTCTTGATTTTAATTTAATTTCCACTCCATATAAGTTAGCTATGACATAGGTACATATAAAAACAAATTTAGCCCTGGCCAGTGTGGCTCAGGTGTTTGAGCATTGTCCCACGCACTGAAGGGTTTCGGGTTCAATCCCCAGTAGAGGGTGTGTAGGAGGCAGCCCATCGATATTTTGCTCTAACATCGATGTTTCTCTCTCTCTCACTCTCCCTCTCCCTTCCTTTCTCTCTAAAAAACTACTTTGGTGATGTTTGGAAACCTGGCTTAGATTTTTTTTCTTAGTTAAGTACTTTGGTTTGTTAAGAACACACAGCCAGCTTAAATAGTGGAATTCATTAGAGATATACCAGGTATGTAGCTTTGGCTAACATACATGGTGAAAGTGGGCCTTTGCCCCATTGCCAAAAGACCTAGGGTTGAATTTAAGCCAATTGGCTTTTCATCTCACATGCACATAAACACCCAAAAGAGCTTATTTTTGAAAAGACAACACACACTCCTAACATACATGTGCATACACACACACACATATAAATAAAATAGGTGTTCAAGAACAGAAACTGTAACACAGCAGGCCATATGGGGACTAGATTTGAAACTGGAAAGTCAATACCTGAGGTTCCACGTTGTTGAGATCTTCTCTCTGTATGGTATCAGCTGGTTCTTCTGTTCCCACAGTCTAACAAAATCTGTCCCGGCTAAACACAACATGATCTTCTACTGTGAGTGTTACCTCATGATATTTTTTTATATCTTGGAATAAATTTTTGAGAGAGACCATTAATAGCCCAGTATGAATACATGACCCAACAGATTTGCCTATACTGAAATTAAAATGGCCATCTTTCCCAAAGAAGATGACAAAATAAGGGACTGAACAGAAAACAGATGTGTCCACTGCAATCTTTAAGATGAATAGAGTTCATTTCTTTTTTAAAAAATATTTTTTTATTGACTTTAGAGAAAGAGGGAAGGAGAGGGAGAGAGAGAGAAACATCAATGGGTTGCCTCCCACATCAATGCAGAAGGCAGCTGATCGATGCTTCACTCTCACATTGATGTTTCTCTCCTTCTCCCTTCCTCTTTCTCTAAAAATTAATAAAAAAATATATTTTTAAATTCCAGATGATTTGGACTCCCAAACTATAGAAAAATTAATTTAGAACTCTTACACACACACACACACACACACAAATAATAAAGATTAGATCTCTTTCCATTTACATTAGGTATCATGGCTTCATTCATAACATTATCTACACTTTATTATAAATACTTGCCTAGAATATAAGCACCTTGAGATCATAGTCAGCACTCAAGAAATCTTTGATGGAAGAATGAATGAATGAATGAGTGCGTGAATGAATGAACCCTCATAGGAAAATGGACAAAGCATATGAACAGACAGTTCACCAAAGGAAAAATATAAGACCAACAAACATCAACTTAATTTCAAACTCCCTCTTTAGAGAAAAACAAATTAAGGAGGTAATAAAATACTATTTTTCATCTATCAAATTGATTAAAATATTTTAAAATAATATTTAATTAGACTAACATTCATATATGCTTATGAGAGTGTAATTGGCGCAGCCTTTTTGCAGAGCAGTTTGGCAGTCTGTATTGATTAAAATGTATGTACCTCCTAGCACCATGATTGTGATCTCTAAATGTCGTTAAGTGGAATCCTAGTTCCATAGAGCAGTGATTTTCAACCAGTATGCTGCAAGAATTTTTAAAACATACAATACCTGACTAGTCAGGGGCACTGACCTCTTTCCAGATTGTCAAATAAAAAAATGACAACAGCCAACACAATAGCTGTCTGGTGTGAATGAATCATAATTATACCTACTTTTTTTGTCAGATTGGCAAAAAATATATTCTTTGGTGTGCCACAGAATTTTAGTAATTAGTTTATATGTGCCATGAGATGAAAAAGGTTGAAAATCGCTGCTGTAGAAAAATGGCAGATTCCAAACCTGGGACATCTTGTGACAGCAGAAATGCTATCCAAGACTACCAGTTGTGTTTGAAAGATGCAGAACCAAACTTGAAGGAGCTCCCACTGCCCAATAATGGCACAATTTGAACATCAAAAGGAATAATCGTTGTAATTGATTTAAACACTTCAAATATATAAAAACATTAGTTCATAATATTTTCAAAATCAATCACTTTGGTAGTTGCTAGGATACAACTCATCATCATTCTGAATCCTAGAAAATAAAGAAAAAGAATCAAGCATTTAGCCTGGCCTGGTGTGGCTCAGCAGTTGAGCATTGACCTAGGATCCAGGAGATCTTGGCTCGATTCTGTCAGGGCACATGCCCCGGTTGCAGTCTTGATCCCCAGCAGGGGGCGTGCAAGAGGCAGCCAATCAATGACTCTCATCATTAATGTTTCCATCTCTCTCTCTCCCTCTCCCTTCCTCTCTCTGAAATCAATAAAGATATATTTAAAAGAAGAATCAAGCATTTATCTTGTCTTGCCTATATTAACTGTATTTCACAATAATCTTAGTTGATAAGGAAAATTTCATTATAAAAAAATTCCATCCCGAAAAATCTAGGGATGATAGAACAAGAAGATTGTTACTTTTTCAACCCCCCATCCCCCAAGAAACAGTGGACTTAGGGCAGTGCTCTCAAACTAACTGTGGTGAGAACAGGTGTTTGAATTTTTAAACTTTCAATTTATTGAGGACCAATACTCTTGTAAAAGACAATAAAATGTTGTGGCAATGTCAGATTGCTGTAAAAGTTTTTAAACTTTCACAGCTTTCAATTATTGTACTTTTCATGAATAGATAGCAATCCAATGGAGATGGACACCACCACACCTTGAGTAGCACTGGCCTAGATAGTGTTCGTGAGTAAATGACAAACCTGTTAAGTGAAAGATTTGTGAGGAGCTTTCAAATAATGGATGGATTTGGCTGAAAACACCCTAACCTGCTTACAAATCTTAACATCACTGAAAGTGAACATTGTGTGTCACCTTATTTGACTCAATAGGAAATTTATAGCACTACCTATGAATTATTACACCCCCCAGCACCAAAATTGAACCTGAATCTAATCAAGCTTCTTGAACTGACTACTGATTTACCAGAAATAGAATGGATAGAGGAATGAGTTAAATGGCAACACCGCAAAAAAGGCATGAGCCAAATTCCAGAATGCAGGAAATGCCACAGGACAAATGACACAATTTATTTAACTTTGACAAACAAATGTCATAAAATGAAGAGGCACTGTTTTAAGGTTAAAGAGATATAAAAGACATCTGAATCAAATAGAATGTGTGGGACTTGTTTGAATTCTGATTCAAACAAATTTTATGACAATCAGGGAAATGTGAAAATGGGTCATTGAGATTATATATTTTTAAAAAGCCTTGTTAGAAATGAATGCTGAATTATTTCAGGTAAAAAAAGATGTAATGTCTAGGATTTGCTTTAAAACTCCAATGTGTTTCAGGATGGGGCAAGAGGTGGGGTGAATAGGTGGAATAAAATAGGCAGAATGTTGATTAGTATCGAAGTTAGTACCATGTCAAAGATAAAAGACATTATTAGTTAAAGCAGTGAAAACAGATTTTATTTAGTACCTACTGACAATAAAGGAAAGAGGTGAGCTCCATTCTGATTTATGCTGCTGAGGTGACTGGCGTGTTAAGGGGAATGGAGGAGGGAGGAAGAGCAGGGGCTCAAGTGAAAAATTATAAAGGGTTGGTGAGTGTGAGTACCCTTGAGGCCAGCTGTGTGTGCTAACTGGCAGCTATCTCCCACAGAGACTGGAAGACAGAGCCATATCATTTTTGATGATTGCCTTTCAAAGGAATGGCTTTCAGGTCCTTGAGAAACACATTCCTGAGTTGTGGGAGATACATACACCTCTCAGAAGGAAGGAAGAATGTTTACAGTTATAAACTCTCTTTAGTAAATGCTCTAAGAAAGGAAGGTCGGAGTGTATCTTCAGTTGTTGGCTAGAGGAAACAGTAAATTCTCCTGGCAGCCTTGAGCTTCCTCAGTCAGGCATTTTACTGGGGGGCTGGGGTCATGCTAGAGACATGGCCTTATGCTACTAGAAGCCTTGCTAGATTTTGGTTTTCTTAGTGCAGGGGTTCAGACCGAGTCGTTATGTGCCAAAGGTTAGTTCTGCAGTTCTCACAAGTATATGAGGTCCCGATATATCAGTCTTTTTTTTTTATGAGAAAAATTTACTCTTATGTGTATTTTGAAAGTTTTATTAATAGAAAGTTATTTTTAAATGTATATTCCTGTTGACCTAGTAATTCCTCTTAAAGGAATATATACTAAGGTAATAAGCAGGAATTTGGTCAAGGTTTTTATGTATGAGGATATTCATCAAAGTAATAATAGAGAAAAATTGGAAACACGTTTCTAACATTAAAAGATTTATAAATAAATGTAGATCCTTTAGCCTGTTAGATTGTCAGAAATTCAAAAGCATCAAGAGCCATTGATGGATGAGGCTCTGGAAGCAGGCACTCTCATAAATTGCTGGGGGGCTGACTCCATGGAGAGCAATTTGGCAGTCTTAACAAAATTACTAATCCATTTACTCTGTGACCTAGTACTTCCACTTCTGGGAGTATATTCTACAGTGATATATTTACATGTATGAAATTGTTTTGTACAAGGTTTTTCATAACGTCATGATTTATGATAGCAAAAGATTGGAAACTAGGAGAGGACTAATTGAATAAATTGTGGGGTTTATGCAGAGGGTTACTATACAACCAGAAAAAGGATGAGGGACCTCATATCTATACATTGAATATGGTAGCCACTAGCTACACATGGCTGTTTAAATTTGTGATATAATTAAAATTAAATAAAATTTAAAATTCAGTTCTTCAGTTGCACTAGCCACATTTAAAAGTGCTCAGTAGCCACAGGTGGCTAGCAGCTTACTCCGGTGGACAGCACAGATAGAAGACATTTCTATTAGTGCAGGAAGTTCTGTTGGACAGTGCTGCTTTATCTAGTATAAAAATATCTCTAAGATACCTCTATTACTTTTATAATGAAGACACCTAAAGATAGAAAATATTACATAAAACAAAACTGAGGTTCTTTTTGAAAGATTGAAATCTAAGTTCCAAGTATATATGGAATCTTTTCACGTATATATATATTTTTTTTCTTAAAATCAGTAGCTGCCCTATTTTCTCCTAGAAATTTACCGTTTTCAGGTTTATCACTATGATGCCAGATACACATATTTTGGAAAAAATTCCATTGGTAACAGTTGTTTAAGGCAAACAGTATAAAGGATTCTCGATGAATGAATTATTTTTTGGCTAGCATTTACTGTTTTTTGTAGGCAGAAAGCTTGAATCAAGCATGCCTGAAAATGTCACCTTCCTCACCTATTTATTAAGTGCATCCTCTAAATAACTCTTAAGTTTGCTGAGTGCTATAGCAAAATGTTACAGCTATAATCCCAGCTCTCTGGAATATTCTGAAATTAGGTTTGATACAATAGATACTTGGTCTTTGTCTCAATACCTGGCACATAGCTTCTAAGACCTTTGGAACCTCCTGAGTGAGAAGAGTATCTTTGGCATGCTAATGGAATGACTTTTGGTGAGGGGCTCCTAGTTAGATTCAATACGGGGCCTGCTCACCAGAAAGACTAAACCCTGATTAGAAACTTAAAACTTTCAACCCTACATTCCAACCTCCAGGGAGGAGAGAACAGCTAGAGATTTAGATAATCACTAGTGGTCAGTTATTTAATCAGTCATGTTTATGTAATGAAACCTCCATAAAAACCTCTAAACAGGGTTCTGGAAGCTTCCTGGTTGGTGAACACTTAGATGTGCTGGGAGGGAGGCACACATGGAGAGAGCGTGCCATGCCCTTTCCCACTTATCTTGCCCTATGGATCACTTCCATTTGGCTGTTCCTGAGTTCTATCTTTTATTATAAACTGGTAATAGTAATTAAAGTGTTTTCCTGAGCTCTGTCTTTTTACAAACTATCAAACCTGAGGGAGGGGGTTGTGGGAACCCCATGGTCAGTTAAAAGTATGGATACCTAGGATTTGTATTTTGCATATGAAATGGGGACAGTCTTATAGTACTTGTGGGATCTGATACTGACTCCAGGTAGATAGTGTCAGAATTGAACAGAATTATTGGACATGCAGTGGGAAAATTGGTGGGAAAAAATCACATATTTAATGTCTGGAGGGTGAAGAAAAACCTTTGAGGCATATACCTTTATATGGCTGCAGAACATAGTATAATCAGAGTCTGGCATATTTTTGTGTTGTTTAAGAAGAAAGTAATAGGAACTAATTACCACCTTAGTGTGCAGTGTTTTTTAAAAATGGGGAATTGTACTGTAAATTTGAGATACTAATAAATAATTGATTTTTAACAGAGCTATAAAAAATAAGGAAATTCCCCCTCTGGAAAATAAAGCTGCAGACTTTAGAGGAAAAGAATCATCTTTGAATTTATCTTACCAAAGTCATGACTGCTCTGGTGCTTGTCTGATGAAAATGCCACTAAGCTTCAAGGGAGAAAACCCTCTGCAGCTACCAATTACATGCCACTTCCAAAGACGTCATGCAAAGACAAACTCTCATTCTTCAGCACTCCACGTGAGTTATAAAACCCCTTGTGGAAGGAGTCTTCGAAACATCAAGGAAGTTTTTCGTTTCCTGCTTGAGACAGAGTGTAACTTTTTATTTACAGATAACTTTTCTTTCAATACCTATGTTCAGTTGACTCGGAATTACCCAAAGCAGGAAGAAATTGTCTCTGATCTGGATATTAGCAATGGAGTGGAATTGGTGCCCATTTCTTTCTGTAATGAAATTGACAGTAGAAAGCTTCCACATTTTAAGTACAGAAAGACTATGTGGCCACGAGCATATTACCTAAACAGCTTTTCCAACATGTTTACTGATTCATGTGACTGTTCTGAGGGCTGCGTAGACATGTGAGTAGAATAACATGGCATTGCAAAAAATCTTCTGAATGTTAGGCGTACTTGTTAAGTCCTGCTATGTATCAGTTTGTCTGTCTATCTATATAAAACTCTTCGCTAAGAATCTAAAATGGAAAAATACACTCTCTTACTGGCAATGGGAAAGAATTCTTCACTGGTTATTATAGTAATTTAAAAATTATTTCCTCCAAGGATGAGTATTTCCTTTAAGCTAGTGTCATAATTATAATTATAGTTATTGCCATATAACAGTGTGGACACTGTGACAGTTGCTTTACATATATTTTCTTATTTAATTCTCACACAACTCCATGAGGTAGTAATATTATTTCCATGTCACAAATGAGGAAATTGAGAAGCCAATTGTAAGATCATAGGGCAAACAAATTCAAGAGCTACAATTTGAACCCGTGGTCTTAACCACTATGTTACATGTTGTGTTTTACTTTTATAAATCATTTCCTTGCAATTTTTTTAGAAAGTTAATGGTACTTGTAATTAGTACTCTCTTGATCATAACATTGACATTCCATTAAAAAAATGAAAACATGTTCTAATGTATTAGGACTTTGAAATCATTTTGTTTTAAGGGTGTGTAATGTACATGTATTTGTAGGTATGCATATATAGAATGGAGTTTCATTATATGTGCATTTAATTTAATGTAATTTAGCTTCCTATACTGGGCAAAATAATGAGAGAGGTAAAAAGAAAGAAATAGTATGGATAGTAGTTTTCACCATCCTGACAGTTGGAATGTGAGATGAGATGTATGAATCTGCTGTTACATCATTTTGGCTCAGTTCCTTCAGGCCTGTCATAGAGGAAACCTGTCACTATGCCAAGTTTAATTCTGCTTAAAAATAAGTTTATATTTTTTAAACATTTCCTCTAAGTATAATCCAGCTATATCTGGCCAAGCTCAATCTTTCTCAGTGCTGGAGAAAAAAAACAACTGACTGTTGGACAGTGTTTACTTTATGGTCAGTTTAAGGGACTTTTTAAACATAATAATTTGAGTATATGTAATTTTAGAACACACTGGATTAAACCCAATTGAATGTATGATTTTAAACAGTCACAGCACACAAAGGAATTTAGGACCATGAAGGCAGCTTGAGTCCCAACAAATAGAATTCACACCTGAAGAATCAGAGATAAATATAGAATCTGATTGAAAGAGACTTTACAATAGGTATGTTTAAAGTGTCTAAAGAGCTAAAATATTAGCATCCATGAAACAAGGAAAGCAAGAAAAGGATATATTTTTTTAAGTGGTATATAAAAAAGAACCACTTGGAAATATGGGAAATAAAACATATGGCCATTGAAATAAAAAATGGACTAGATGGACTAAATGTATTGGTATAGTTGGAGAAAGAATTAGTGAACTGCACGGCAAAAACTAAGATCTCTCAGAATGCAAAGAGATAAAGATATGGGGAAAATTAAGTTACAGGTTAAAAAACATGGAGGATAAAATGAGAGAGAAACATCTGCAGTGAAGAAAAGAGCAATATTCGAAGAAACAATAGCTGAGAATTTTCCAAATTGAAAAAAGACAGGAATCTTCAGAGTCAAAAAGTCTCCTAAAGACTAAGAAGGGAAAATAAAATTAAATATATCGATGCAACTTAAAAAGTATCTAGGGTAAAGAGTAAATTTCAAAAACTCAGAAAAGAGGAAAAATAGACTAATAACACGCTTTGATTAGAATTAATAAAACAAGAGATATTAGCATAAAATACTGAAGGAAAATAAATGTAAAATTAGAATTCCTTTCAAAGTCATTTGACAGGGAGAGTACGGTGTTCAGACAATGAAATAGCCATTGAAGAGGTGCATACCTACTTTCTAGCAATATTACTTTTAAGTATATCTAGAACATTGTTTTCCAAGCTATAGGTTTGTGGGATGTAAAATCATTTAAAGGGTTGTAACTAGCATTTTAAAAATTAAATAATACAAAAAATACCCAAGTGCATCACACACAATAAGGGTAAAGTTTCATGTCACTGTTGTTTCAGTTTATACACATGCACACATACATAAATATGTATGCTTGTACAGGATCATGAAGAAAATGTATTTTCTACCATGGGTCATAGTTAAAAATATTTGAATACTACTCTAGAGATGCTTACACATGTGTATAAGAATGGGATGTTCATTGCAGCATTTGTTATATTGAAAACTTTAAGCAACTTAATTGTATACCAAGCAACTAATTAAGCAACATAATTGTATATCTAAATGCTATGGAAAAGTTTAAAGGAGTTAACTAGATTTGCTTATAACATGGCTTGGGTCTCAAAAACATAAAAAGCAAGTTGTAGGATAATAACTATAGTAAATATTTAAAAACAGCACAATACAATATATTATTTGTAGATCTATATGTAATTAAAAGTATAAAGGACATAGCACCAAACCTCCTGAAGTTTAGTTTTATCTGTAATGTTTAATTTTTTTATTTTTAAAAGAAGATCATATAAACAGTATGTTTTAAGTTATATACATAGGAAAAAGGACTAAACAAAATGATGACAGCTAATTCTGTGTGTTAGAAATGTGAGTGCTAATTATATTACTGCTTGTATTTTTAAACTTTGCAAACAAAATCATATAAAAAAACAGCTTTAGATTTCTACATCTGTAAATAGAATACAAATTAATGAATTTTTTATTGTTGTTTTTTTTCCTGTTACAAACAGTAGCCACCATTCTTATGCATGTATGTATATACAGAAAAATACAGAAGAGAATCATCGAGGAAAAGACCTTAAAGTCACTTGTTGAACAAGGAGATAGATCCAGAGAGTTTAACCAGCTTGCCAGTAGTCATATACCCAGTTTACAGCTGAGACACCCAGGTTCCTTACTTCCTGTAAAGTTATAAGTCTCTGTCATGTTAGATAATCATTTAAATAGAGGGGAAAAAATTTTATGGTTGCATGCTTCTTGTTTAGCAAATTTATAAAAAAACAAATTGTAGTAACCAGATACCCAGCATTAACTTCCCCAATCTGTTTTCATGTCATTAGAAAAAAGGGTAATTTAAGACATCTGCAAAACTATGAGTTTGACACATATGAGTTTATCCATTATAGAAGAGTGGACCTAGGAGAATATTCATAAACAAGCTTCTGAATAGGAAATGAAAGGAATTCATTTTGAAAAGTTAAAGAAAACTCATATACTTATGTATTTATTTCATGAGCAAATAGAGATACAGTCCAGTTTATAATTATTTATAAACTTTTGATAGATATTCTCTTTCAAAGAGGTCTGTTTAAGAAGGAAGTTCAATTGTCCATGAGGCAAATGACTGTCCTAAATATAAACATCCTTAACTATATCATTTACACTTTCATCAAGACAGTCTCTTAACTTTGTACTTTTTTTATTCTTTCTCCATTCATTGCCTTCCTTTTTAGAACAAAATGTGCATGTCTTCAAATGACAGCAAGAAATGCTGAGACTTCTCCCCTGTCAGGAGATAAAATAATCACTGGATATAAATATAAAAGACTACAGAGACACATACCTACTGGGTAAGATACCTTAAGGATTTGTTGCAGGGTGTTTGTATCTTTTTTTTTTTTTTTTTTATGTTTCTTTATTATTGAGAATATTAGATGTCCCCTTTTTATCCCCACTGATCCCCTCCACCTCACATCCATCCCACCCCCAGGCTGTCCCCATACCAATGTCTATGTCCATGGGTTATGCTTATAAACCTCTAAGTTCTTTGATTAATCTCTCCCCACCCATACCCCCCTCCCTACCTTCCCTCTGAGATCCCTCAGTTTGTTCCATGCTTCTATGTCTCTGGATCCACTTTGTTCATCAGTTTATTTTGTTTATTATATTCCACATATAAGTGAAGTCATGTGGTACTTGTCTTTCTCTGACTGGCTTATTTCACTTAGCATAATACTTTCTAGTTCCCTCCATGATGTGCCAAATACAGCTGCATAATATTCCACAGTGTAAATGTGCCACAGCTTTTTTATCCGCTCATCTACTGATGGGCACTTGGGCTATTTCCAGATCTTAGCTGCTGTAAATTGTGCTGCTATGAACATAGGGGTGCATAAGTTCTTTGTGACTGGTGTTTGGGGTTCCTTAGGATATATTCCTAGAAGTGGGATCACTGGGTCAAATGGCAGGTCAATTTTTAAACTTTTGAGGAAACTCCATACTGCTTTCCATAGTGGCTGCACCAGTCTGCATTCCCACCAGCAGTATACTAGGGTTCCCCTTTCTCCACACCCTGGCCAGCACTTATGGTTGACTTGTTGATGGCAGCCATTCTGAACAGGTGTGAGGTGATACCTCATTGTGATTATAATTTGCATCTCTGATTAGCGACATTGAGCATTTTTTCATATGTCTCTTAGCCTTTTGTATGTCCTCTTTGGAGAAGTGTCTATTTAGTTCCTTTGCCCATTTTTTAATTGGATTGTTTATCTTCCTTTTGTTAAGTTGTATAAGTTCCTTATATATTTTGGATATTAACCCTTTATCCAATGTGTCGTTGGCAAATATGTTCTCCCATGCCGTGGGCTCCCTTTTCGTTTTGTTGATGGTTTCTTTTGCTCTGCAGAAGCTTTTTATTTTGATGCAGTCCCATATGTTTATTTTCTCCTTAGTTTCTCTTGCCCTAGGAGATGTATCAGCAAATATATTCCTATGAAAGATGTTCTGAGATTTTACTGCCTATGTTTTCCTCTAAGATTTTCATGGTTTCATCTCTTACATTTAAGTCTGTTATCCATTTTGAATTTACTTTTGTATATGGTGTAAGTTGGTGTTCTAGTTTCATTTTTTTGCATGTATCTGTCCAATTTCCCCAATACCATTTATTGAAAAAACTGTCTTTACTCCATTGTATGTTCTTGCCTCCTTTATAAAATATTAATTGACCATAATGGCATGGGTCAATTTCTGGGTTTTCTGTTCTTTTCCAATGGTCTATATATCTGTTCTTTTTTTTTTTTTTTAAATATACCTTTATTGATTTCAGAGAGAGGAAAGGAGAGGGAGAGAGAGAGATAGAAACATCAATGATGAAAGAGTCATTATCGGTTGCCTCCTGCACGCCCCCCAACTGGGGGATCGAGCCCGCAACCCAGGCATGTTCCCTGACCAGGAATCGAACCCCCATCACCTGGATCCTAGGTTGATGCTCAACCGCTGAGCTACTCCTGGCCAGGCTATATGTCTGTTCTTATGCCAGTACCAGGCTGTTTTGATAACAGTGGCTTTGTAGTATTAACTTGATATCTGGTATTGTGATCCCTCCAACTTTGTTCTTTCTCAGGATTGCTGTGGCTATTCGGAGTGTTTTTTGGTTCCATATAAATTTTCAAAGTGTTTGTTCTAGATCCGTGAAATATGCTGTTGGTATTTTAATAGGGATTGCATTGAATTTATAGATTGCTTTGGGTAATATGGACATTTTAATGATGTTAATTTTTCCAATCCATGAACATGGTATATTTTCCCATTTGTTTATATCNTTTGTTTATATCTTCCTCTATTTTTGTTTTTTCAGTGTCCTTTAGTTTTCCGAGTAAAGGTCTTTTACATCTTTAAGTTTACTCCTAGGTATCTTATTTTTTTAGTCTCTATGGTAAATGGGATTTTTTTTTAGTTTTTGTTTCTGAGAGTTCATTATTGGTGTATAAAAATGCCATCGATTTCTGGGTGTTAATTTTGTATCCTGCTGCCTTGCTGAAGTCATTTATTAAATCTAGTTGTTTTTTGGTAGAGTCTTTAGGGTTCTCTATATACAATATCATGTCATCTGCAAATAATGACAGTTTTGTTTCCTCTTACCAATTTGGATGCCTTTTATGTTTTCTTCTTGTCTGATCGCTGTGGCTAGGACTTCCAGTACTATGTTGAATAAGAGTGGTGAAAGTAGACACCCCTGTCTTGTTCCTGTTCTTAGGGGAAATGGTTTTAGTTTTTGCCCATTGAGTATGATGTTGGCTGTAGGTTTGTCATATATGGCCTTTATTATGTTGAGGTATGATCCCTCTATTTCCACTGTGCTGAGAGTTTTTATAAAAAATCGGTGTTGGATTTTATCAAATGCTTTTTCTGCATCTATTGACATGATCATGCGATTTTTGTCTTTTATTTTGTTTATGTGATGTATCACGTTTATTGATTTGCAAATATTGTACCACCAGCCTTGTGTCCCTGGAATAAATCCCACTTGGTCATGGTGTATGACCTTTTTAATATATTGCTGGATCCGATTTGCTAATATTTTGTTGAACATTTTAGTATCTATATTCATCAGGGATATTGGCCTATAATTCTCTTTGTAGTGTCTTTATCTGGTTTTGGAATTAGGCTAATGCTCGCCTCATAAAATGAGTTTGGAAGTGTTCCTTCCTCTTGGATTTTTTGAAATAGTTTGAGGAGGATAGGTGTTAATTCTTCTTTGAATGTTTGGTAAAACTCTCCTGTGAAGCCATCTGGGCCAGGGCTTTTGTGTGCTGGGAGCCCTTTGATTACTGCTTCAACTTCATCAGCAGTTATCGGCCTATTTAGACTTTCTGACTCTTCCTGATTGAGCTTTGAAAGGTTGTATTTTTCTAGGAATTTATCCATTTCAGCCAGGTTGACCTGATTGATTTTCTCTTGCATATTTTATTGACAGCATTTATGAATGCAGCCTGTTGTGCAAGTGTAATCGCCAAATGTGTCAAAACCGAGTTGTTCAGCATGGACTTCAAGTGAGACTACAGGTGTTTAAAACTGAGAAGAAGGGATGGGGAGTGCGCTGCCTAGATGACATTGACAGAGGGACATTCGTTTGCACTTATTCAGGTAAAGCAAAGGTTTATTTTCAAATTACTGTATAGTAAGATGTACGCTTCTGAATCTCCATTTTACTACACAGGGCTATTGAGATCTCATAGCAAGGACAAGAGCAACAATATATGAGAAGCATCAGGGGAAGGAAAGTGCCTGGGAAATTGAGTACTAAAGGAACAAGATGCTTTAGGAGGTACCAGATGGCCCCGAAAAGAAAGGCTCAGAGATCAAATTTGAGTTATTGTGTTAGGCACATTTTTTTTTGGTCTTCATGGCTACAAATGCTTTGGAGTAAGATAAGAAAACTTTTTAAATAGGAAAACTAAATTCCTGAATTATCAATCTAAGACTACCTTATTCAATGTTTTAAGCTATTAGAATTTAATAAGGTAATTTTGTAATAAATACCTACATGTAGTGATTCAGGCAGTGACTTTAGGCAACATACTCCATCTCAGAGACTCCAGAGAATTTCCCACATTCTGAGCAAAACTTTCCACCCAGTGTGGTACAGTTGTACAGTTATTGACTTTAGGGCTACAGCCCCCAGGATAGACATGTCAGTTTCCAGTAGTCTTGACCAGTTACCCCAGAGTGTGAGGCAAAGATCCTCACTCTCTGTGTTTCCCAGGAAATGAGGAGGGTACAGGAAACATGGCTCTAGAGCCAGTCTAAAGGAAATGTGTTGGTCTAGGCAGCAGGGACCAGAACAATATTCCTCATTTGAATTTCCAGGTTCACTTCAGTGAGGGCAAGAATTATCAATATTCAGAATAGCCACACTTGGATTCCTGTCACATACCCCTTATAGACACACAACTTGCCTAGACAATTCTCACATTTCTTAAAATAACGCTTTGATGAAAGTCAGCAGCTGCTTATAAAATGCCAAATAGTATCCAGGAAGTATTGTCTTTATCTACATTGCCAGAAAATGCAACTAAGGAATCTCTGATCCAGTTACTAACTTTGACTTGGTAACTGTAATTTTGAGTGCCTTGGGGGGAAAAAAATGCATAAACTTTAGACTAAGATTTTAATGTTACACTAGAACTTAATATGAGAACAAGGGGGACATGTCACCACAGATTTAAATAGGTCACTTTATAAAAAGAGTATTGATTTTAAATGATAAAGTGTTTTTAACTTGACACCAAAGCTACAGTGTCAAGGCTAGAGTTCACCTCTCTAATTTTCTAGAATGCTTTCTGATCTGTATTTTTGTTTTATATTATTATAGCTAAATTTCTTTCATGTTATACCAAAACAGACAAATGTGGTTTTTTAATGTCCTATATTTTTTCATATACTGGAAGATATGAAATTTCTTAATGGTCTTTTATTATTTCTTGTAGTAGTTTTCTAGGATATTAATGTGTTTATCTTCATTCTGGAAATAAGGTATACCTCACAGGGTTCTTTAGTAATAGAGGAGAATAGAGAAGTCCTTTTGTTGCTTAGCAATTACTATAGTATCTTTTGTCTTGCTAAACTCTTACTTTCTGCTAGGAAGATTACTAAGCAGATCTAACACTGAGAAACCTGATACTATTGGTGAAAATAGAAAAGAAGACAATATTATGAAAAATATGTTTTCAAAAAAGAGGAAAATAGAAGTTGCAGATTACGAGGTCGAAGTTATCCCATTAAAATTGGAAACACATCCTAGAAGTGCTAACACTGAAGAGTGTCCACCTAAGTTCAATAATAATCCAAAAGATCCTGTTACGTAAGTAAGATTTTAGGAACCCATTCAAAAATTGATCTGTATTACTGGTCAAGAGAGGTGGTTTCTCTCCTCTTCTCTCCTCTTCTCTCCTCTTCTCTCCTCTTCTCTCCTCTTCTCTCCTCTTCTCTCCTCTNATTAAATCAAAAGCCATACATCTTCCAAGAATAAATATGTATCAGTATTGAAAAGTAAATAATTACAAAAATTCCAATCCTATTTTTCCAGTTTATAAATGAGGAAAACGAAGCTTAAGAGCATTTAAATTTTTTGAGATCACATAAGAAATCAGTGATTGGCAGATATGCTAAAATTCATGGTTTCCTTCCTTCCTTCCTTCCTTCCTTCCTTCCTTCCTTTTTTCTTCCTTTCTTTCTCCCCACCCCTATATATCCCTCCTATATATAAACTTGCTTCAAGTTGTAAGTTTAACACTGAGAAATCTATGACACTCAGATTTAAAAATCTAGCCAACATAATTTTATTTCCCCAGTGTTGTACTTCTGGAGTTTTACCTTTAAAAACTATAATGTCATGCTTTGCAGTTCTTTTTATTTTCTATCACCATTCTATTTCCAATACTTTTCATGATTTTCTCCTTTTTTTAACGTTTTAAAATGATTGACTTTAAAATATGATTATATTCTCTTCTGGTAAGGGTCAGGCATAAATGTTATTACTTAGATTAATTTCTAATGAATATTTCTGTAACATTATCTAGAATAACTCTTTTTTTCTTTTCAGAGAAATGAAATATAACAGTATTTCAAGAATTCAGTATCATTCAGTTATTAGAACTCCAAAAACCAAGAGAGCCAGTATTCAACCTGATGAGGAAAAGATGGTAAAACTGCAAAATGTAGATACGGCCCTTCTGAGAACATTAACTATTATCTCACCTTTCTATCTTTTACTTAGTTCAGATTATTTGTGCTACTTAAAAATATGTAGGATTTCTTTTACTGTTTTGAAATGGGTCTACTGTTGAAGTGTTAATGACCACATTTTATTTACTTAGTATCCTTCTGGTGGTTAGCATGTTCCCAAACTTACGTTTTTAAGGAGAATGTTCTGATTGTGTTACACTAAGACTGAGAGCTATCCTGTTTTGAGAATTTATAGAAACTAAAGTGATTGAGTTGATAAGAAGAAGAAAAATATTAAGAAAAATAATAGAGTAACTTGGGTTAAGGAGATAAGGTTGTGAGATGCATGAAAAAGAAGACATGCAACCAAATTAAAGGTCATCCAGAAAGCAACATTTTACATGATAGCCTCTGAAGGGACACTTTTCAGTCTGAACTGAGAAGACTAACTAGTCAGACTGTAACTTAGAAGCAGAGAAAGAAACAGGAAAAAAGAGAAGGGTAGACATAATGGTAGTTCACATTAGGGCTTTGACAAAAAATAAAAACTCTGCTCTGGGTGGTTTGCAAATTTTGCCCTCTGCCTACTAACCTATAGTAGGAACCTCCTCAGTATCACATACATAATTATGAAAAGACTGGGCCATGGGATCACATAGACTTGGGTTTCACCTCCAGCTCTGCTCCTTTCTAGCTGAGTGATATCTCCTTGTCTAAATTTCTTTATCTGTTAAATGAGGATAATAGTATCTAAGTCAGGAGGATTGAGATACATCAGAAACATGTTTGACACTCAGGTAAATGCTCAATAAATGTTGGCCATTTAAGTACTTGAATACCATTAATGGTCAGCTTTCACTGAGCAGTTAGTTTTGTCACGCATTGTGCTAAGCAGATAACTCTTTTAAAAAGTTAGTACCATTTGAAGTAACGGCAGTGTCTGTAATATATAAAGATAGGCAACTTCTTTAACCTTTTTTTTTTAATATGTCTTTATTGATCTCAGAGAGAGAAAGGGAAAGAGAAAGATAGAAACATCATATCATGAGAGAGCCATTGATTGGCTGCCTCCTGTATGCCCCCTACTGGGGATCCAGCCCACAATCTGGACATGTGCCCTGACTTGGAATCAGACTTCGATCTCCTGGATCATAGGTCAATGCTCAACCGCTGAGCCATGCCGGCCGAGCTAACCTTTTTTCGGATGTAGAAACTAGCTAGAGTGTTTTTATCTTTGTACATCTTACACTTGATGCCAAATTCATAGTCTGGTATCAGAATTGAGGTATACAAACAAATGTATTTGAATTTATTTTGAATTTTAATGCCTAAAGAATGTCTTGACTGTCTTATAGTCTTTATAGCTATAGCTTACTAACATGCCTACAAGTAGAACATAGCCAAAAGGGTTCCATCACTCCTAAGTTTCCTTAAAATATATCAGCTCCGAGGTTTTCAAAACCAATGTAGTAGCTACAGTCTATGAAGATTGACACTTGATGAAAGAGGCCTAACTGCTAAATTAATTCCTTTTCCTGACCTAGAAGGTAACATCTTCCTTGTTTTATTTTGTTTCGTTTTGTTTTGTTTTTCAGGGATTTGCTTCCTCAGAATCTGTCACTTCTGAAGATAATGATAGATTTAAACCAACCCAAGTACATCTGAACTCTAAAGCCAAGGAGATGAAAAGTAGGCTTTGTTTAACTCTGTGCCTGCCTCTTCTGCCTTTTTGTCTGTCTTGCTCAGTATCTGTGGCTTATTTTCTCAGAATCCAATACAAACATGCTGCAGTCACACAAAAGTTAATGCTTGTCTAAATTTTGAGAGGTCGGCAATCTGTATGGTTTGTGGGCCAAGACTAGACTATCATCTGTTTATGTATAGCCCATGAGCTAAGATGATTTTTACCTCTTTAAATAACTGATAAAAATGAGATGAATAATATTTTATGATACTTGGAAATTATATGAAATTATAATTTGTGTCCATAACTAAAGTTTTATTGAAACATAGCCACACTCATTCATTTACATATTATCTCTACTTTCGTGCTATAGCAGCAAAGCTAAATAATCGTGACATAGACCATATGGCCAAAAAAATGCCTAAAATATTTACTATTTTGCCCCTTATAGAAGATGCCACCAGTGACCTGACATATGGCAGGTAGGAGTGGGGTGGACAACTCTTAGTTTACATTGTCCACAGTGTTATCTGTGGCTTTGGAAACATTGTCCAAAGCAGCCATTTCCTAACTTGTTTGGGGCTTCTTTAAAAATAAAGACACAGTATTCTAGCCAACACTGCTGCTGGAGATGCTCAGCAAAAAGTGAAAATATAGCTACCCTGAGTGCTTGTATTTCAGTGTTACCAACCCTGCCACAGTCAATAACACAACTTGACAAACCTGGGTTTTGGTACTTTTGCATTTCAATACATCCCGCAGGGAGGAGATGTTGCTGAGAGATGATCTATTACCTCTTCTCCCTTTGAGCTTCCTTATATCTGCACTCCCAATTCCCTGCCTGGTCTTAAAGGATGGATATTGGAGGAGGCAAAGCAACTCCTTGACTGAAAGGTCTATGAAGAAAAGGCATTTATGTATTATAATTATTTCACCATTGTAGGGGAGGAAAAAATCTCTTCCTCTCCCTATCTTAGGTTGTGTGGCTGGGGTCCTATAAATTAGGCTGACAAAACAAACAAGTTTATTACCATTACCATGTGTGTTTTACATGTAACAGATGGGACTGCAGTAATTCCGCTTATCCACTGTTTCACATTCCATGGTTGCAGTTATCCACCATTTACCACAGCCCAGAAATACTGAATGGAAAAATTCCAGAAATAAACAATTCATAAGTTTTAAATTGCACATCATTCTGAATAGCATGATGAAATCTTGTGCCAACCCACTCCGTACCACCCAGGATATGAATCATCCCTTTGTCTAGGGTATCCACACTGTATATGCTACTTGCCTGTTACTTAGTAGCCATCTTAGTGATCAGATTGACTGTTGCGATATTGCAGTGATTATCTTCAAGTAACCCTATAGTAGCCTAACTATATCACAATGCCCACGTCATTCACCTCATCATGTAGGCATTGTATCATCTCATAATCATCACAAGAAGAAGGGAGAGTAAATTACAATAAGATATTTTGAGAGAGAACACATTCATATAACTTTTATTACAATATATTGTTATAATTCTATTTTATTATTAGTTATTGTTAACCTCTTACTGTGCCTAATTTCTAAATTAAACTTTATCTTAAATATGTATGTATAGGAAAAAAACATAGTATTTCTAGGATTCAGTACTTTCCACAGTTTCGGGCATCCACTAGGGGGCTTGGAATGTATTTCCCACAGATAAGGAGGGACCTGCTGTACTCAGAATTCTGGCTTATCTAGAACCTTAGCCAAAGAACAATACATTTTTAGAGTTAGGGCAAGACAAAGGAAAAGCACCTTTAGTCTCTAGGGGTAGCAAATTGTGGGAAGGCAAATACATGAGAAACCAGTGGTATATATAGGCTAGTCAAGTTTGTTATATAGATTTCTCTGGTTGAGTCTACGGGATGATAAAGGTCTAAAATTGTCTCCGGTGATTAACTTTTAACTTCTGTCCTTCCTGGTAGGAGGAGAGACACTTTTGTAAATTTATGGCCTGCTTTTAGGCAGATAGGGGGAGGCAGAGAGCTTTTCTTGCATATGCTATTTAAATAATTCTTATGCCAAAGAGGCATATTTTGGGATGACATATTCTGATTTCCTTCACCATTTTAATGCAAGTGAACCATAGTGAGTACTATTGCTTTTGATTCTTTTGCCATTTTCATTGACCACTACAATGTATATGGCAGGCATATTAAAAAAATATTATTATCTGTTAGTGCTCACAAGTGATCTATGATTAAAGTATGAGTACATGTAGGAATAGCAGCCAGCAATAGTAATGATTAAACTAAGAACATTGATTTTAGAGAAATGCAATTTCTTTATGCCACTGACGTGGCACAAGGTTTTTAAAAAATAAATGATTTTGCTTATTTCACTTGACATGCATTCATACTTTTGAATATTCTAAAAAATATATTTCTAAAAACAATTAAGCAGTTTATCTTCTTCTAAAGTATTATTGTTTGTAAAAGTGTGATTATTGAATGGTCATCTAGAAAATGAGCACTAATGTGTACAAAGCCGATAGCAATATAGTTATTGTAGAGGGTGACTTTGACAGGGTCTTTTTAGGCCTTCTTTGGTATCTTAAAGGCCTAGAGTGTTCCCTACACACCACTGTTACAGCTGTCTAAAATATGCTTAGGCCTGGTTGGGTTGCTCAGTTGGTTAGAGCGTTCTGATACGCCAAGGTTATAGGTTTGATCCCTGGTCAGGGCACATACATGTAAGAAGCAACCAATGAATGCATAAATAAGTGAAACAACAAATCGATGTTTCTATCTCCCTCTCTCCCTCCCTCATGCTTTCTCTCTTCCTCTCTCTAAAATCAATTAGAATATACTTAAATTCAGATTCCAAAGTTGAAGAGAGGCAACATGTAGATTCATTAAAAGGAATAATTATGTAGTAGAAAGAAGGCCAAGTTTGGAACCAGACATTTCTGAGTTTGTTACCCCACTTCTCTTCTTATTGTGGGTCAGGTGAATCCCTTAACCCTGCAGAGGCTCAGAGTTTTCGTATATAAAATTAGAGTGCTGTCTACCTTAACACATTGTAAGGATTAGTGGTAATGAAAGTAACTAGCATTTAATTAGTATTGTTAATCTCAGCACTATTACTCAACCAAGCATTTTCCTGACAATTCTTTCTAAAATGTTTATTAGTGGATGCAAGCTCAAATCAAGTTGAAGACTCTGAAGACAAATTGCTGATTGAATCAGATGTGATAGATATAACTAAATGTAGAGAAGAAAATTCACCAGGGGACACATGTAACCAAGCAACCACAATGGATAATCAGGATATTATGAAGTTTGAGGTTCAAATACTAAAGCCCCAAGAGGAAAAATCTCCAGCATGTCAAAACCAGAATGTCTTTTGTAATAAAAAGTTGCCAAGTAAAACCAAGAATACTTCATCTGAATCTCTAAAGTTCAATAAAGGAAGTGTATTTTTATTGGATGCCACAAAAGAAGGAAATGTGGGCCGCTTTCTTAATGTGAGTATATGGGCTAAGATTTACATTTTGAAACTTTTTTGTGTGTGCTTTTTAACAAAATTATAAGGAAAATATGATTAACAAATTCTAATGCCAGACTACCTGGATTAGGATGCCAGTTTTCTACTTGTATGTTACTTGACCTCATACCTTATTTCTGACTTCTATAGTGTGGGGATAATAACTGAGTCATAGGATTAAATTAATTATATATACTATGTAAAGTGCTTAAACAGTACCCGGCACATAGTAAACATTTGCTTAAGAAAATGATATAAATGGTATATAAGAAAATTATTTACATTTATTGAAAGGTTTTCAGGATTTGTACTTCCAAAAAATCATAGTGGACACAGAATAAATTTCTGTTTTGAGTCTTATTCAGAGATGCCTCTAATAGGTCAAAAAATCAGTTGGAGATATTTATGTTTTACTTTCAGTAAGTTTTGAATGATTTAGTGGCTTAGTATAGAAAACCAGTACATTTTTCAGAATATTGCATTTAACTATCCTACCCCTTTTTCTAATTCCCAAACTATAGTCATTTTCTGTTTGTGTGTATGTTTGGGATATATAAATAAGATTTATTTTCACTTATATAGAAAAGTACTCATGATTCTTCTGATTTTATGGTTAATTGACACTTAAGACGCCTGTGATCTTCAAGATAAGAGTAGTAATTTGTATTATTGATCATATCTCTTGTGTAAGGCGAAATTGGTGTTACCTTGTAGCTTTCCCCGTAGACTTTTATTCTATCCTGCTTCCTACCATCAGACATTAATTATCAAAGAATGTATGGCCCCAGGAATACTATAGGGGAAACGATCCCCTTCAACCTCTAGTCCCATTGTCTATATAGTCTTTAGTGGACTGGACCATGGGAAACCCTGAGCCATCTGATTGAGAGCTGAGCGAGACCCTTCTGCATGCCTCCCCAATCTCTGGGTTCCACTTTGTCTTTGCTTATCCTATCCAAGGAAATAAAGAGTCATGGAAGGAGGACAAGGACTTTGATCCCTTCCACACATCCTTTGGAAAGGTCCACTCTAGCACCCTGGATGTGGGCTTAATTGTTCTCTCTGATCTGTATCAGAGCTCTTCTTTCTCCTTGTTGGGTGGAATTAGTGGGATAGGCAGCCTTAACTTTTCCCTTAAAGGTGAAAGAAGGGAAACACGAATGGCCCGTGATTCTCATAAACATTCCCTTTGACACCTTTAAGGTAAGCTGCTCCTCTTTAGATGTTACATTTGAATGGTTTGAAATTTATGTGCAGTGATAATTTTACTTGTAATTCAGCTGCCATCAGGAGAATATTCTTAAGTCAGAAGAATCTTTAAAATCAAAGGGCTTTTTCCTTGCTAGGTGAATCTGCTAATTCAGCTTGTTTCTTTTTCTCTCTCCTAGTTAGGAGAATACTTGGTTAAAGAGGAATAGAATTCTCTCTTCCCTTACTTTGTTCCCCAGCTGCTGCTCTCTATCCCACTTTGACTACTTCTGCAGTGTTGCCAAACATTTCAGGAAATCCGTTAAAGAAGAATCCCCAGCAAAAGACTGTCATGGCTTTATTTCCCATCAGTTATGTTGAATGATGGCTGCACCAGCACGATTGGATTGGTTTCACCTCTCCCAATCAGCACATCAGCCAGGTCCCTCCCTTGTTTATAGGGAAAAAAAAAGAACAGGTTTTTGTTTTTTTTTTCTTCCATCCATCCTTTTTTTAAAATTTTTTTTACCTAGATAATACATTTACATGATTTAAAAGTTTAAATAAAATAATAAGCCATGCAGAATACATACATATAGCTAAAGAGAATTCTATTTCAAGGTAACTCTAAGCCTGCTCAGTAAGCGCCATGAGTCAAGATTATCGGTCCAAATTAAAAGTATGGACAGAAAATTATCATTGAAATTAAATGCTGGCCCACATGTCCAAGGAATATTGTGGGGATTTGATTCTTTTATTAAACTGGTGATGGATGAATGTGTGGAGATAACAGCTAGTGAGCAATAGAACAATATTAGAAAGGTGGTAATAGGAGGAACTAGTATCATCATGTGTAGAAGTCTTGGAACAAGTATAAATAATGGTTATGCTCAGCAGTACTTACACAAGTCCCCTTTCCAAAGGGCCTCTTTTAACTATGATGCAAAACTCCGGTTGTATATAGTCTTCATATTAAACTTTTATGTTTTGTTGAAAAAAGAAACATACCTTGAGAAGTACTATACCCCCATTTACCCTGCCCCCATTTGGAGACTCTGTATAGTAAAATTTTTATTACTTTCTCATTTATTCTTATACTGTTTCTTTATGCAAATACAAGTAAATATAAATATGTGTTCTTACATAAAAGATAGAATATTATTGTCACTGTCCTATACCATGTTTTTTAAATTAACAATATACCCTGGATATCTTTCCATATCAGTACACAGATACTGATTGTTTTTGCTCATAGTTGCATAGAATTCCATTGCGTTGATATACCAAAGTTTATTTAACCAGTTCTCTTTAGATAGTCTTTTGGGTTGTTTCCAAACTTTTACTGTTAAAAACAATGCATGATGAATAATCTTTCACATAGATACATGTGCAAATGTATCTGTAGAATACATTATCAAATAAAGGGTTGCTGAATCAAAAGATACATGCATTTATAATATTGATTAATCTTGACAAATTATCTTCTTTAGGGATTTATACCATTTTGCATTCCTACCAGCAAGATTTATAAGAGTGTCAGACAGGCTTTTCTGAATGGATTCCTACTATTAACAGGATTATTGTGAGCTATGATATTTTACATATTAGTCAACAAAAAAGGGAAAGAAGCAAAAATAAGTGAGCTTTGTTGGAAACAATGGTATTATAATGTTTTAAAGAATAAGACATCAAACTTTATGCTGTATCTAACCTCTGTTTTAATTTTTTTAACAGCATAGTTGTTGCCCAAATCTTTTGGTACAGAATGTTTTTGTAGAAACACATGACAGGAATTTTCCATTGGTGGCATTCTTCACCAACAGGTTTGAAAATTTTTATGATTTAATTATGAAATTGTGACTTTAAAAGTAACAGTAGAAGAAAAAAAGAAACTAGACAGAGGGACAGGGATGGGAGCAAAAAAAGAAAAGAAAAATATGAAAAGATATGTGCTCTACCCCCTAATACCTAGTACCCTAGAATATTCAGTTATCCCAAACTCTTCCTACTCAGCAAAATTTTAAACAGCTGAAATTTCAATTCTTATTTCCTTTTAGAACTAATGACTGAAAAGGCTAAGGATGGCAGTTCTCACCCAGTTCAGTTCAGGGGATAAATGATACAAACTGCTACATCTGCATTAAGTCAGAACTATTGTATACCCAACTTCCACTCTGCAGGCCTCATTACATCACCAGATTCCGTTGTTTGCGTTGTTTGCAAACCACACTTCCTTCCTCATAAATATTGACAGATTTCTTCTTTCTTAGGATTTTAGTAGATTTGAAATAAAACTCAAATGATTATTCTTCTAATGAAAGAGCATTCCTAATTGGTGGGTGTCAGAGAGAATACACTGTAGTTTTGAGGATGGTTAATGATGTTAATAAAATTGATATAATCAAGTTTGGTTAATTCAGGGTAATTATTTTTTTTAATTTCTACTTTCTAGGTATGTGAAAGCAAGAACAGAACTAACATGGGATTATGGTTATGAAGCTGGGACTGTGCCCGATAAAGAAATCCTCTGCCAATGTGGAGTTAATAAGTGTAGAAAAAAAATTTTATAAACCTGTAGCTAATGCCTGTTCATGAAATTAGCTTATCAAGCTGAAATTAGAGCTATGCAAATGAATGTTCAGTTGTCAGTGGAATTTATAGTTTGCGATCCATCAAGAGAATTCCTCTCAGTCTACTCTTGTCAGGGGGTTCATTTGTGTGACTTAAAAATGCTAGGAACAAAATAAGGACAGTTTCATACACATAGGGTATCTCTTTATTCTTTCTGCTATTCAACTTTACATGAGTAAGATAAAAGTGTATATTTTCTATGAAGTACTGCTATATAACTTGTAACTTATTTGTAAATTATATATTGAAAAACAAATGTCACAATAGAATTCAGTTGTTCTTGTTTTTATTATTACCTTTGAGTTCATGGATCCAAAGGGCCACATTTCATGACTTTACTTACAAAATTAATTTATGTTTAACTCCTGGCAAATAATTTAACCATTATGAGCCATAAGGTGGGCAACAGAGTGAGTACTATAGCTCCGTGAAGCACTGTCCGTCCCATTGAGTGAGAAGAGGTGAGAAGCCCTTCTATAGGGAAGATTTTGGCAAACTCTTTGGGATGAAACTGCTTTTCCACAGATTCTCTGTATTCCTTCAATACAAACACAGGAAAAGAGGGAATAGAAACCTAGAGGAGGTGGAAGATTTTTGTTCTAGATAGAGTACAGCCATAAGAAAAAGAAACCTGGAAACTAGTCAGACTTGGCTTATTTAGGCCAAAAGGGATTGTGCTGGGCAAGAATTTCATTTCAAAAACAAAACAGAACTGAGCTGTAGAGTCTGAAACAGCCCCTTGTATTCGGGCATGATGTGCAAATTGTTTTTCTAGAAAAAAAGGGAAGGAGTTTGATATAGGTTACCTAGCCCTGATCTAGTGGAAATGGGGCTGGGAATCTCCAAGAGTCAAAACTAATTTTATCCTGTATATCTGGCTGTCAGGAACTGCCCGCCCCTGGGACCAGGATGGGAATCCTAGCTCAAAAAGGAGTATTGATTCTGGGTTTAGCTTGGTTACCTTTCAAAGTTCATTCTAAGTTTAGATGCAATGTAATTTCTTAAAAATATTGAACTAGGTGAAAATTTAACTTGAAATTGTTTTAGAGTGGGAAACCAAAGAACTAGAAAATACTGGTAAAGCACATCCTCCAGTACCTTTTGAAAAGGAAAAATGAGAGGTAAATACTTTGAGACCTTGCATGTTTGAAAATGTTATTGTACCCTTACACTTGGTTGCTATTTTGACAGGGTATAGAATTTTTGAGTAACCTCCATTCCCAATTTTGAAGGCTAAGCTTTCAGTGCTACTGCTAGGAAGTTTGAAAACGTTCTCGGTTTGACATCCAGGGTTACTGTTGGAAGTCAGATGCCATTCTGTTCTTTTTGTATATGCAGCCAGTTTTTATTGCTCTTGAAGCTTATAGCATTACTTTGTCTCAGTGTTCTGTTCCTGGTAAGGGTCCATTTTCATCCCTTATAACTGGGTGCTTGGTGGGATCTTTCAAACTTTGACTTTCAGGGAAATAGTTTTGAACTCTTTCTTTAATGATTGCTCATCTGTTCGTTCTTTCTAGAATTCCTGTTATCCAGATGGTAGACCTCCAGGATTGGTTCTCTAATTTTCTTATCTTTTCTCTTAATTTCCAGCTCTGTCTTCTAGCTGTACTTTCTAGGAGATTTCTTCAACTTAATTTTCAAACTTATCTAATGTGTTTTATTTTTCTGGTCTCAGATTTTTAATTTCTAGGGCTCTCTTTTCTTCCCTTAGTGTTCTTTAATAGTATCTTTCTTTGGTTCATGGTTGTAGTATATCTTTGAATGTGGGGGGGGAGGAGGACTCATCCATCCATATATATGTATATTTTCTTCCTGCATATTCTGTGACTGCTAAGTTTCATTTCTTTGTTTTCCCTGTATGTTTCCTTTGGTGTTTGTTTTTTTGTTTTGTTTTGTTACAGGCTTTCCTCATTGATGGTTGTGGTCTACTCCTGCTTAAGAGTAGAGCCCTAAAGTGCTGAAATTATAAACTAAGAGTGGTGGGAGGTGTTCTTCAACTGCTTCACTATGACCTAGCTGAATTATTCAATCTCTATTTCAGTCTCTTTAGGACTTTGCCTGGCAAGGAATACAAGCCTGATTCTGAGACATACAGTATAGTAATATCACCATAATTAAGGGTGCATCACAGTAAAGCAAGTGGTAATCTTTTTGCTGATGGAGGGTCTTGCCTTCAATTTGTTAAAAAAACAAAACGCAACACTGAAGTGCAATAAAACTAAGCGCAATAAAATGAGGTGTGCTTGTAACTCTTCTGTCCACCTGCTTGAAATGCAAAAAACTTTGTTGTAAGAGTCCGTTCTTTTCTCCTGTTTTGCAGCCCCACACTCTTCTGTAATCCATTTACGTGTTCGTCCAGACTATCCAACTTACTGTTTTTAATACTGTTTGTCTTTTCTGCTGTCTCCAAATTGCCCTCTTTCCTCTTTAAAATTTGCTCAAATTGCAGGATCTCCAGAAGTTTTAATTATTCAGCAACCCCCAATTCTGTGCTGCTTTTCCAGAACAATTTTCCAACTGTATGTTCTCTACATGTATATGTTAATATGCACTGAAAACCACCTCTTGTATGGTGCTGTGTACCCCATGGGTGCTAAATAAAGCCTTGCGACTGGTAACGAATTACGGTTGGTAAATTCTGCACCCGTTTATGATATACCTACGTAGTCCAAACTCTAATACAATTATTAAAAGAAACGGCGAACCTCTCAGAAAAGCAGTCATTTCTCCAACTGAACACAGGGGCTTTGGCCCCCTTGCTTCCAACCATGGGAGGGGAAAAGGGGGCGCTAAAAAGAGAAGAAGAAAAACTCGGACCCGGAGAAGGTGCGAGCTCCTGCTCGGCGGCGAACTCCACCTGCTAGCCCGGCGGCGGCCCTTCCCACTGGGGACTTTTTGCCGAGCGGGGGAAATAAGTCATCTCGGGTTTTCCGGCGGCTGCGAACTTCCGGAAGCGAGCGCCGCGCGCAGCAGCCACACCGCGGCCGAGAGCTGGGCCATGGAGCC